TGAGGGAGAAGAAAGTCTTTTTTCCTGATTGTGAAGCAGGTTTTGGTTCAAGAAGTACCTTCTTCTTTGGGGTTACAAACCTCCCCCTACCCTGCCCACCTGTGGAGGCTCAGAATGAATTCTAAGCTTTGAGGACCAGAGAGACTCCTCAGCCCCCAACAAATCTAAAGCAAAACTTTTAATCATGGCTAATACTTACTGCAGGTGCTTTATTCCACTTCTGGGGAAAAGATTGACACTTATGCCAAGTGTACATGGAGCATCTCACTTCACCTGTATGGAAGTAGGTAGTATCTTCTTTCCCATCTCACAGATGAAGAAACAGGCACGGGAGTTTAGATCATTTTGCCCAAGGTCATATGTAATAGGCACCCAAATGGATGCCAGGAGTGGGTGCCAGAGCATAAGAAAGATTGGGGCAACTCTTAGTGCTACGTGGGATCTGTAAATAAGACTTCACAGGTCTGTTCCACTGTGCCTGATCCCTAGGGACTTTTTTTTAAGATTCATTTTATTTACTTATGCATACAAGAGCTGGGGTACAGGCCAGAGGTGTGGGATGGAGGTGAGAGGATTCACCTCACGAGAGAGTGGGGAGCAGAACAGGCAGATCAATTGAAACACTATTGAGGGGAGCAGCAGGCGGGTCAGGAGAGGTCTGCTGTGCCATGTGGGTCACCCCCTGGCCACAGCGGTTGGTGACAACTTGATAGTGCTGAGACTTAACCCCTTGTACCACCAGGGAGGCCTCGTCCCTAGGGACTTTAATGATGATATCTTGTCCATTACCCTCTCTGCTATGTCCACATCCCAGCAGACGGTCTGGAGACCACTGGATGGGATCACTGTCTTTCCTGCTTACAGACCTTCTGTAGCTTCCAGAGTCAAATCTGGACTTGAGCAGAAATTCAAGCTCCTCAAGGACTGGTTGATCTACCATCACCCCAATGTCCAGCTCCCCATGAGCACTCAGCCCCTGTTTCCCATTCATCATTAGTGCAGGAGGCAGACTTAGCACCCGGCCCTAGATGTGTTCTTCTGGCCAATGAGGTAATTTATGTATTCATGTTTAGTGTCAGTATTGGATTATAGATTCTTTCTTTTCTCCCCCACTAAAGTACTAGAACTCCCTCCCTGGTGGTGCAATTGGTTAGAATGCAGTGCTATAAAGATATCTGCAGTCATGCAACATGAGTTTGATCCTTGGCCAGAAAGCTGACACACGTGGTGCAGCAGACCTCTCCTGACCCGCCTGCTGCTCCCCTCAGCAGAGTATTTCAGTAGATCTGTCTGTTCTGCTCCCCACTCTCTGGTGAGTCCTCTCACGCCCCTGTTCCTCTGGCCTGTAACCCAGTCCTTGTATACATAAATAATACATCTTTAAAAAAATAAAGTACTAGAATTTGCTACTATTATTATTTTGATGCGTAAATGGTCCCAATTGGGAACTCCTCTCACCTGGCTTTTGGGTCCTTTTAACCAGTCCCATCATTCTTTTGCCACTTCCTTACTTGATGTTCAGACTCATGCTGTAATTCCTCTGCTCCAGCCCTGAGAAGTAGTCCTTTCTCCAAGAAGCCTTGGTTTCTTTTAGTGAAGTACAGTATTTATAAAGCAAGATCGGCTGCTAGGTGCTTGTTGCTACAGGGATGTCATTTCTTGCAGACTCTCTCACCAGCTAGAAGTAGAAAAGTGCAGTTATTATAATTGAGAAATGTCATGCAAAAATCTAACTTCCAGCTTTGATCTACAGCAACCTGAGGATCTGGTGGCTATCAGCTGGAAACTTGACAATCAGTTGGAGCAAAGTGAGTTCACCAATATTTGTTTTCTCACTCAAATATTTGACTGCCTGCTATGAATTAGTTATTGAAGGTCCACTATGGGCCGGGCATTATGTTGGCTACATTACTACTGATTTCAGTACAATTTAGAAGGCGGCTATGGTACTTCAGCCCTACTCGGCTCCCTTCTATTATTGTAGATAGTTGAGTTTCAATTTCTAGCTCTTACTTTTGATTGCTTTCTTTCCTCCAGCTGGAAGGAAATCTGGACATTTCTCATATGTCCAACTCACAGCCCAGAGGAAATGCTACTTCCTTCTTGAGGTCATTCTCAAGTCATTTATCCATTCTCTTAACTCTAAATCCCTCTCCTACATTTGCCATGTTCTATGCTGAATTATAGATTTTTAGTTCAGCCTACTCCTACTTTATTAATATTCTTATTCTGTTAGAGACCATACCTTCCTTGAAGGCAGGGACCGTGTCTGTCTTGCTCACAGTTATGCTCCTTAAACCTAAAATCAAGCCCGTCACATTGCAGGCATTCAATGAAAATTCCCATCAGAAATACTGTTGAGCTCCCTATTGTATTTGGGTAGTACATATATGTGGCAGGTAGTTGTGATGTAATTGTGAGCAGATATAGTCCTGCTGTCATGGAATGTACTGACTTCTGGGGGAGAAAGATGTAAATAAAAATCACATAATATGCTTTTGTAGACTGAGTTGTCTGCATTTGTATTACTTTAGTTCCCAGTAACGTATGTGTGTGTGTGTTATACATTTTGTTTTCCATTTCAAGGTATGCCTTTTTTTTCTCTCCATAGTATGTCTTGCAGAATTGATAGATGTTCGTCATCCTTTTCAAGTGACACAGTAGCCACTATTGTGGAGATACCATTTCCCCATTGATAGACACTTAGAATGTTGCTGCGTTTTCTGGTTTTCAGTACTGCGATGCAACAGGTCTCTTTTTCAGCACCACGATGCACTTATGTTTGTTTCTCTGGTAGATTCCAATAAATCAAATTGCTACCTCAGTGTAGTTTTGTTCTATATACCTCTGTACTGTACCTTTGAAATTCATGTTACTTTTATGATTAGAAAAAAACCTAAAAAATAGAAAGAGGTGGGCAGGTTGCTGGCATTGTTGGTTCTGAGGCAGTGGAGGTGCCTGCTCATTGTTACATGAGCATACATTATATAAGCTGTGGATCATTATGTAACAAAATTTGAAAGGGATGTGCCATGGCTCTCTCGGGAGACTTTGGGTCTTTTCTGACCTGAGATGTCACCAGGTCCAATGATCAGGATTTCCTGGTAAAGCCCTTTTTTAAAATCTGTTTCCTTTTTGATTGTTAAAGACTACAGAGCTGGAAGGGACTTATTAGCAGCTGCATGTGAAAATGTAGTCTTGTAACAGTTTTCCAAGGAGCATTTAGTTGTTGCAAAAGCAGATAGGCAGCACTGGGGGGGGGGCATTTCCGGTAAACCTCGTTACCTTGCAAATGATTAAAAGGAGCTTAACCATGAGTTGATAAAGGCTCATGTACACAAAGCCCTTGAGTGATGCTCAAACAGCAGATTATATACAGTAATTGCTGCTATTCAAGGTTGCTGTTTCCCCATATGTTATGTCATTGATTCCTAAGACGAGACCCACCAGCTTTAGGGGATGCCAAGGTTGAGAGCGAGAATCCAGCAATCTAGGAACATGTGTTGGCCACCTCCTGACCAGACATGTGGAGAACTCAGGAAACACAGACAAATAAGGAGAACCAGGTCTTGTGGGAGTGTCAGGCTTAAAAATATCTATCGATATAAATTATATGTATATTTATGTATACACACAGATTCATCATGGTAAGAGCTGTGATATGATTATGAAAGACAGTATTGTGGGGGCCCACAGGAAGGCAAGTTTGTGCCTGGAGAAGTCAGAGGAAGTTTCAGAAAGGCTGTGAGAACCAAGCTGGAGCTGGAAGCCAAGAAAACAAGGAAGGAAGGATGAGAGGGGAAGAACCTTTACTCTGAGGGAACAGCCCTACAGAGGTGCATAGTGCAGAGGGTAGAAGAGTGTGGTAAATGGTTGGAAGAGAGTTTGGCAAGGAGTGAGCTCTGAGTCTTCTGTAAATATCTGGGCTGATTTATAGAGATAGAATGGAAGGTTTGACTGCAAATATGTTCAACAGTCTTGAATATGTGCGAGGCACTTTGCCAGAACCGGGGCTTCAGTGAATGGTGAACCACAAAAGTCTAGTCCTCGGTGAATGTGGTGTGTGAAGTATAGACAAATCCATGAGCAGATATGCTCAGCCATCAAGGTTGATGCCAGGTAAACTATGCAGGTTCTGTAGTTACCTGGTGAAAAGCTACAGAGCAAGAAGGCAAACTTTTGGCTTAGTTTTCCCCAACTCTGGCTTCCATTTAGGGAAGCTGAGGGCAGAGAAAGGTCATTTCCTTTGACTTAACCAGATTTGAAATAGAAGATGTATTTATGTCTTTACCATATACCAACTACTATAATAAGCAGTCTCCATTGAGTGATTCGTCCCAGGAAGTGGAACTATAATTATTCCATTTTCAGGTGGGAAAGGTAAGGCTCGGAGAGATTAATTAACTTGTCCAAGGTCATAGAGCTAATAAGTACCAAGTGCAACCTGGGAAACACCCGCTCTTAACCCCAGGCTTAACATCCACTACAAGTTCAAGGTTCCTTTCAGTTTCGCATGATCCTGGGCATCTCATTTGCCGCCTTTGGGCCTCGATATTTCCGTCTGTAAAATGGGGGTAAGGGACCCAATTGTCATCTCCCGCTCAGGCGCAGTCGCGAGCACAGTTCAACATTTATCTCCGCGAGCGAGGGGCAAGTCCCTGAAGCGGAGGCTGGGGGTCGCCGGATCCAAGCTCGCAGGCACTCATCTCCACCGGTTCCCATGACAACCCAGCCAGCTGCTACCCTGGGGCCGATGCGTGCGTCACTTCCGGCCCGTTTATTTCCGGGTCCCAGTGTCAGCAGCTGTAGCGGCCCTTCAGAGCCCAAGGAGGGATGCCCAGGGAAATCGGCTCACCTTTCTGCCTGGGGTTTCTCACTCCGTCGCCCGCAGGCCTCTGCCTCCCTTCGGCCCAGCACGCAGCCGTGGCCCGGCCTCCCTTTGGACCCACCCCCGAGAGACGTCACTTCCTGGCCGAGTGTTTCCGGGTCGCCACTGGCTTCGGGTACTGGTCTCGGTCCCCCGCTGCCGGGCCGAGCGCGGAGAGCCCTGCCGGGCCGGGCTCCGGCGGCGGCCGCGGCTCCTTCCTGCCTCTCTCGGCCGGGGCGTCCTGGGCGGCAGTGCCGAGGTGAGTGCAGGGTGGCCGGACGGAAACGGCCCGCGGGACTTCCCCGGGCGGAGGGGGCGCCCGACTCCACTGGGCTCGGCGGGTCCGGGAGCGGCCGACGGGTGGACCCGCCTTTTCGATGTCTGGGGACCCAGCTTGCCTTCAGGACCCCGACTTCCCCGGCAGCTGGCTTACTGACTCCTGGGGCCGGCCCTGGGTGGCTGAGGGCAGCTCAGGAGGAACACCCCCTCGGACGATTAGCCAGGCGGGAGGCTACCGCGATTCCGCCGGAGGCAGTTGCGCGCGGGGTCCGCAGCGCAGACGCTGGTGGTAGTCCTGGGTTTGTCTAGCTTTGTGACCTTGGCCAAGTCCCTTGTTCATCGCTGGAGCCGGAGCTGCTGCTCTGTTAAAAAGGAGCGAGTCCGCCTCCTAGGGCCACAGTGCGGATGAGGTGAGAGGATGTGTGCGGAGCGCGGTCTCTGGCATCCAGCAGCGTCCAGTAAATGATAGCTGCTGCTAATTCATTCACAAGCCCTTTTGGGGAGGGCCCGAGTTTGAGACGGGGGTGTTTTTCACAACTGGTGTGGCCCTCAAAGGCGGTAGGAATTACGAAACTGGGATTTGCAGCCTCCGGCCTCTGTCCTCTTCAGGGAGGGGAAACTACGCCCTTCAGAGCCCCTCTGAGACTGGCAGCTGCTACGGGGGAGACTGGCTTTCAGCACTGCTGAGATGGCTTTCAGAGGTTTGGAGCGGTCGTTCTCCGAATTTCTCTGGAATCTGGTGTGGGTGCAGGGATTCTCTGGTCTTTTACAGCCATTGGAAGGTGCCTGGGATGCGTCTCAGGAGCCTCCAACTCGGAATGAATGCAGAGGAATGGGGTGCGGAGGTGGAGGGGGTTGAAATAGTCCCCTCTTGCCGGTTCTGGAGGCTTAGGCAACTCTGAGCAGATTGAAGGTAGATCAGAGATCTGCAAACCCATGGACTAGGGCAAAGCGGAGACCAAAATAGCTTTTGCCTGTGCATAGTGGGAGAGCCTTCAGATGCTGCTCCAGGAACATTTCTGCTTGAATGGGCCAGCTGAGGGAAAGCCAGAATCATTTCGATTTTAAACAGATACAGCTTTTCTTTGAGAGGTTGAAGACATAGTAATTAAAGTCACCGCCTCCTTGACTGCCATGTTTCAGTCTCAACATTGATTTGCTGTTCAAAGGGGGCCCAGATTGTGGGTGTAGGAGGTGCTGACCAGGACTGTTGGTTCTGGGCACTCGCCTGGCTCTGTTCACTGTGCCGTTTTTTTTTTTTTTTCTGCCAGACTGGCACATCTTGGTGTTCCAGTCTGTGCGTTGCTTGGAGAAATTAATGGCTTCTATCACTGCGCTGTCTTGATCTCCTGTAACCACGCTGTTTTTGCAGAGAGCGTGTTTTTTTGTTGTTCTTGCAGAGTGCTGAGAATAAATTGTTGGCTCTGTGCTCAGAAGAGACACCAGCTCTGACCAGCTACAATGCAGCCTGTATTCTCAGAAAATGTATTCCGCAGGGATGATGTCAGCTGCTTCACCACTGGCCACTGTCTGGCCAGCCTCTTCCTGTGGCCCTGGAGTTTACATCATAAAGAGATTTGTGGCTCTTTCCAGCCTCATTTTGTGTGGGAAGATGGGAGTTTTGCTGCTACAGGAATTGTTGGAACTCGACTTTGCCTTCCTTGCCATGGGGCGTTCTTAGTTGAGTCCTTTCAAGTCGAGCTGTCCAGATGTGGCAGGACAGCTTCATGTCGGCGCAGTGTGGTGCAGAGCTGAAGTCAGGGTTCGGCATCAGGCCTCGGTTCTGATCCCAGGTCCTTGTTCCCCTAGCCTTCTGACGTAGTGCAAGCTGCTTGGCCTTTCTGAATCTGTTTGCCTTCTTTAACCTTGGGGCTGTTGTGTGACTTTCACTGCTTTTCATCTAGCACTTAACAGAGGGTCCCCCTGGACTACTCCCTTGGGGAATGGCACACATAAGTGGGTGTGATGAATGCACAGGTCTCAGGGCCTGTCAGCCTGGGTTCAAATCCCAGCTCTCCCCCCTTCAGTTTTGGCAGGTTGTTTATGACTGGGCCGTGGTTTCCTCACAGCGGTGTTGTGAAGATGAAACAGGATGATGCAGTTCGGGTGGAAAGTCCAGGGCTTTGCACAGGGCAGAGTCTCAGTGCTGGTTTCCTTCTCGCATATGGTCCTTCCTTATCTTTAGCGTTCATTTCTTTCACCTGCCTAGGTTAGCTCGAGGGTCTTTTCAGGTGGGTTTCTCACCTTGACTTCAGGGTTTTGAACACGCGCTGGCTGCTTGGATCCCTCTTCCTTGTTTATATTTGCAGCAACAATCAAGGGTGCTCTGTGGCGTGATTACAGAGCAGCCGATGCTGAGCCTGAGGGTGGCTGACTGGGGGAAAAATTAGCCTCTGTGGCTCTAGGATTACTTCCTGGGAGAGAATTACAGCACTTTCGGAGGCTTCATATTCCTCTGTTTAAATGGGTCTCAGATGTGCCAGAAAAACATTCCCTGGGGCCAGAGGCAGCATGGAAGCTTCCCTTAGATTAATAAAACACAGTAAATGCATATGGCCTTTTATTAGCCAGGACAGCAGGGCACGTCTTCCAGGTTGCAACACATTTTTTTTTTATTTAAAGGGAACGCATGTGGGTATTTTGATATTAAACAATAAGCTCTTTCAATGAGAATTGAGGGCAGGCCAGGCCATGTCTTCCTACTGCTGCCCTACTCATCCTATACCCCCTACTGTACCCAGCTCAGGGCCTGGCACAGGTCAGTGCTGCAGAAATGTTTGTTGAACACAGACACAAGGTGGTGGGAGAACATAGCGTCAAGTCAGAGGCCACCTTCCGCAGGCCCTTAGCAGCTGCTCTCAGCACGACGTGTCCTGGCGCCTGCTCCCCTCTCCTGATCCCCCGTGTGCTCGGGGGAGCTGATTGGGCAGCTGAAGGGCTGGCATTATGAGTGCTTGCAGTCTTTGCACCCGTCATCGCAGGGTTTGTTTTTTTTTTTTTTTTAGTAAGATTTATTGTGTATGCAAGATCTGGGGTACAGGCCAGAGGTGCGAGGGGTGAGAGGATTCACCAAAGGCAGAGTAGGGAGCAGAACAGGCAGATGGACTGAAATCCACTGCTGAGGGGAGCAGCGGGAGACTGGAGAGGTCTGCTGCACCCTGTGGGTCGCTCCCTGGCCGGGGGTTGAACTCAAGTTTGCAGTGGCTGTGGGTGTGGCATAGTGCTGCGCTTTAACCTGTTGTGCCACCAGGAAGGGTCCTCGTGTGTTTTTATCATACACGTGTATTAGGCATCCTGGTGAACAAAACTGAACAAAAAAAAAGCACTTTTGTGGTACTTATGAGGTAACTGGGAAGACAGAGTGAGGAAGCTAGTAAATAAGTGAAGGTGATCATTTCAGATGTTGATCTAGGGTAATGTGTTAGTGAGGGACTAGATGAGTGTTACTGAGCGGGGACTGTGGGAGGACCTCTGGGGATGACTGCGGCCCTGAGGCTCAACAGTAAGATGAGTCAGCTGTGGGAAGAAGCAGAGGAAGAACGCGGAGCAACTGGTGCAAAGGTCCTGCGCTTGACGTGTTGGAGGAATTTCAAGGCATGTCCATGTGGGTGGAAGTGAGAGGGAAGGGGAGACTCCCGGGAGAAGTGAGCAGGCATCTGACCATCGTAAGCTTTCTACCTTGGTTGGCATGTTGAGTTTTTTTTTTTAAAGATTTATGTATGCACACAAGAACTGGGGTACAGGCCAAAGATGCGAGGGGTGGGCTACTGCGAGGCTTCACCAGAAACATAGTGGGGAGCAGAACAGGCAGATTGATGAAGTACACTGCTGAGGGGAGCAGCAGGGAGACAGAAGAGGTCTGCCGCGCCATGTGGGTCAACCCCCGGCTGGGGATCAGGCTTGTGACAGCTTCATAGTGCTGTGCTTTAACCTGTTGCGCCACCAGGGAGGGCCCACGTTGAGTTTTATCCTCGGTGGACCTGGCCTTGTGGGCTTCTGAGGCATTTTTGTTCTGAGGCAGTAGACTATCTGGGCAGAGCAGTGGGAGAAGATGGCTTTCCTATCTTTGGCTCTCTGGCCCATCTTACCCCACGGTTAAGATCCCCAGTCTCCTGTGAGGCCAGGTGAGTAACTGGTGCTGCAGATGACTTTGACTGAAGCCAGACTCACAGGCCCTGGGAACCTGTAGCTGAGCCCAGATCTGCTAAAGGACTCCCCAGATCAGCTCTCCCGCCACGGCTGCTCTCTCGGTCCCTCACCATCTCCCACAGGCCCTGGGACCCTCCTTCACCCAGAGAATAGACATTTATGACGTTCCCCTGCACTGGGTGCTGGGTTGAGTTTACCTTACTGGGTTAGGTTGCGAACTCTGCTCCTGGGGCCAGGAAAGGCAGCGGGCGAGGGTGGGAGCCCACATCCACCACCCGGCAGAGCTGTTTGCCTGCTCTCAGTGTACCTTCTGGAGAATGCTTGGCACCTTGGGGGGGTGCTGCCCCTTCAGACACTAGGGATAGCTCAGGTGTATTGAGGGCTGGCTTGGGCCCAGCACACTGCCAAGAACTGTAGGTGCAGGTTGCATGTAATCCATCTCTTCTCTGGCCTTTGTGACTGTTACATCCCCCCACCCGCCTTTTTTAGCAGAGAAAACTGAGGCTTGGAGAGGTGGCCTGGCAGCCGGACTTTGGCATCTGCCTTCGCAACCCGGTGCCGTTGCCACCCTGGGCCTGGCAGCCTCCTGCAGTGGGTCCAGATGGGTTCCCAGCACTGTGGCGCCAAGAACACTGCTGGGGCCATGCGCATCCCTGCACGCGCCAGGCAGACAGCATGAGTGGGTCGATCCTGTGTCCCTGCCGGTAGGGGCGACAGCATGCGGAAGGACGGGCCGCGGGCCGCGGGCGTAGGAAAGCCTCTGTCGGTGCTGCAGCAGAGCGACACTCTAAAATCGCAGACATGATCGAGTCACTCTCCTCCTCGCGTTCAGCTCTCCAGTAACTTCTTGTGGCTCTTTGGATAAATGTGAAATTCTTGGGAACTGGGGTCCTGCATATACCCCTTAGATTGGCCTCCTACTCTCCTCCATTCTCAGCACTTCAGCCACACCAGCTCACTTTCTGTTGGCATGCTAAGCTCTGTCCTGCCGCAGGAAAGCAGGGCGTGGTGGTTAAGGGCGTGGACTCTGGAGCCACACGGCCAGGGCCCTGATCTCAGCCCTGCCTCTTGATAGTTCAGTAACTTTGGCCATGTTTCTGAAAGTCCGGGCCTCAGTGTTCGTATCTGTAAGCTGGGCAGACCTGTCTCCTGGGGTTGTTTAAGTGGTGGCCCGTGTGAGGCCTTGGCATGTAGAAAGTGCTGATGTTACTAGTGCAGGGCCTTCCCCCACGACATCCTGCCATCTCGCTGCGTCTTTGCCTGGCGGACTCCTCCTTCTTAGGGTCTAACCTTCCCTGCCTGTGGATGCTTTTTAACAATGCTGTCATTCTGTAAGAGATGAGGCGCCCAGTCATGTAATCTGTGAGCTCAGCGAAGTCAGGGATCTCCTCTGTGTTGTCCACCACAACCTTGCACATGGTGTGTGTTCAGTGAATGCGTTGAACACAGAGCAGAAAGCAAACGGTATGTAGCTGAGACAAGTTGTGGCTTTTGTGTTGCCTCAGCAGCCACAAGCTGGTGCGTGGAGCGGTCTGAGGAATGACGTACTCGTTCTTCTCCTTCCAGAGCACTCCGCCGGTCCAGGAGGGCTGCATGTCAGGGCTTCTAGCCATGTCCCTGCCTCTGACCCAGAAGCCATGGAGGAGATAAGGTAGCCCCCATCCTGGCCTGGATGGGGAAGCCCAGTTCAATGGATACAAAATACAAGGATGACTTATTTCGGAAGTACGTGCAGTTCCATGAGGGCCAAGTGGACGCCACCCCTAGCACGCAGCGGCCGGGCAGCGATGAGTACCTGCGGGCAGCCGCCTCGACCCTGCTCAGCCTGCACAAAGTGGATCCCTTTTATCGATTCCGGCTCATCCAGTTCTATGAGGTGGTGGAGAGCTCCCTTCGCGCACTGCGCTCCTCCAGCCTCCACGCGCTGCACGGCGCCTTCAGCACGCTGGAGACCGTGGGCATCAACCTCTTCCTGTACCCGTGGAAGAAGGAGTTCAGAAGCATCAAGGTAAGGTGCAGGGACGGGCCCTCCGCACTGGCCTCCCCTCTCCCTTCTCCCCCTGCAGTCGGTTTGTGTGTGCCGGCTTGCCCGTGGGCTACCCTGGGCGCCCTGCTTTGAGATGACCACCACATTTACTGCCAGGCTCCCCACCTTTCCTGTCTGTCTACTGTTGTCTCCTAGCTGGGTCTCTGCCCTGGGAGCTCACACCTCAGGTTGGGGGCTCGGAGAGAGGTGGCGTCCTGGTTTTGGAGCGCTGTGACGCGCAGGGCCCGTGACTTGCCTCTGTGCATTTATTCTAAGTGGCTGCAACACTAGGCAGTCCCAGGGCCAGGTTTACACTCACAGGGGTGGGGCAGGAGAGCAGTTCGGAGGCTGCCACAGATGTCTGGACTGTTAAGTCACTTTGGACTAAGTGGTAGCGAGAGGACGAAAGAGGGTGTCCGGGAGGAAAGTCAGAGTGAGAATGGTGGCGGTGACGCCTAGGGAGCTAGCGTCAAGCCTGGTGTCCAGGCCGCAGCAGAAGTGCTAGTGGGGAACACTGGCCCTTCTCGCCCTTAGCTGCTGGCGGTTGGTTCTAGACTTCCACTCTGGACTCGGGTGCCACGCCCTGTCAGAGTTGCGCTGACACCGTAGCGCAGCCTGGAGTACGGCTAGCATATGTCTGACAGACAATGTACAGAATTAAAAACTCGATTGCTTGAAACAATGCTAACCATCGTCTGTGCCTTCAGCAAGTTGTAATTTTGTGGGGGGGTATAAAACCCCCAGAATCTGGAGGTGCAGCAGAACTGGTGGCTGTATTCACGTTGCCCACTGGGATTCTGCTCTGCTCCCATCCCCTCTTCACCTGTGCTCGCCCTCCCGCCGCCACACAGCAGAGCCGCATCCAGGCAGCAGCGGTGCGGATTCCTGCCCTGAGGAAAGCAGTGGTGGGAGCCTCACCCCAGCCGCCGCACACTCGCTGGCTGGAGCCTAGGGAGGGGCTGTTGCGAGCGCGCCCTCCCGCCCCTCCCTGCACGCTGGCTTCAGACTCGAGTGTCTTTGCTTTGATGCTGCCTCCACGCGTGTCTGAGAGAAACCCCACCTCTCTTTCTACCCCCGCTTGCTTCTCCTAGACCTACACGGGCCCTTTCGTTTATTACGTCAAGTCCACGTTGCTGGAAGAGGACATCCGAGCCATCCTGAACTACATGGGCTATGTGCCCGAGTTGGGGACAGCGTACAAGCTCACAGAGCTCGTGGAGACGCTGCAGGTCAAGATGGTCTCCTTTGAGCTCTTTCTGGCCAAGGTGGAGTGCGAGCAGATGCTGGAAATCCACTCACAAGTCAAGGACAAGGGCTACTCTGAGCTGGATGTGGTGAGCGAGCGCAAGAGCAGCGCTGAGGACGTGCGTGGCTGCTCAGACGCCCTGCGGCGGCGCGCCGAGGGCCGGGAACACCTCACGGCCTCCATGGCGCGGGTGGCACTCCAGAAGTCGGCCAGTGAGCGGGCGGCCAAGGACTACTACAAGCCCCGCGTGACCAAACCGTCTAGGTCAGTGGACGCCTATGACAGCTACTGGGAGAGCCGGAAACCTCCCCTGAAGGCCTCGCTGAGCTTGCGGAAGGAGCCGGTGGCAGTGGACCTGGGTGACGACCTGAAGGACGAGATCATCCGCCCGTCCCCTTCGCTGCTGGCCATGTCCAGCTCCCCACACGGCAGCCCGGATGATCTTCCCTCCCCGTCCCCCAGCAACGGCCAGGGCCTGCTGCGCGGCACGTACTTCTCGGCTCAGGACGACGTGGATCTGTACACAGACTCGGAACCCAGGGCCACATACCGGAGGCAGGACGCCCTGCGGCCGGAGGTGTGGCTGGTCAGAAACGATGCCCACCCCCTCTACCACAAGCGCTCACCCCCCGCCAAAGAGTCGGCCCCGTGCAAGTGCCAAAACTGCAGCCTGCCCAGCAGCGCCTCGCTCTGCCAGCGCTGCGAGAGCCTGCTCACCGGTCCCCCGGCCTCCAAGCCGGGCGCCTTCCCCGGCAAGGCCCCTGCCCACGACAGCCTGGCCCAGGGCTCCTCTCCACGAGACAAGTATGCGGGCCAGACTCCGGGCCTCGACCGGCTGCCGCACCTCCACTCGAAATCCAGGCCCTCCTCCTCCACGGCCACCTCCCGCTGTGGCTTCTGTAACCGCCCAGGCGCCGCCAACACCTGCACACAGTGCTCTAAAGTCTCCTGCGACACCTGCCTCAGCGCCTACCATTACGACCCCTGCTGCAAAAAGAGTGAGCTGCACAAGTTCATGCCCAACCACCAGCTGAACTACAAGTCCACCCAGTTCTCCCATCTCGTGTACAGATAGACTTGACCTTGCACCTCCCTGCTACAAGGGCTACACCACTGACCTTTCCAGTTTCGTGGGGAAGAAGTGTGATGCGTTGATCTCAGAAGCAGAGGCCTGCCCTTGGCCCTGTGGGGGAGGGGGAGGGTGGGGACGGGGCCTGGCTGTACCCTGTTGGGAGTTCACTTAGCAGTTCAGATCTTTCAGCTGGTGACTGCTTTGTCACCTGACGAGGGAGAGGGTGGCACTTCACTTCAGATTAATTTTTGCTAATTACTCCACTCCCTGTTCTGGATTTCCTTTGTTTGTTTTGTTTTGTTTATTAAGATTTCTATCTCCGTGACTTGTCACGGCTACCCCCACTCCTACCACAGAGCCAACTTGGACTGGGAAGGGCCTCCAGGTCCTGTCCAGACGCCCACCTGGAGCGGCGAGCTAGAGGCCTGTTGGCTTGTGAAATGAGCCCTCCTGCCACACCCGGCCTCTTCCAGGGGCTCAGCCCTTCATCGCCGCCCCCTTCCCAGATGCCAGCGTCCCCGACCTGGACGCCCTGCATCCTGACTTCCCCACCGCTTGGGGTTCCCGAGGTGAAGCGAGATCAGTGTGAGCCAAGTGGTGTCCTGTGGCACCACGGCTCATTTTGGCCCATGGGGTCGTGGCCTCGGCTTCAGCTCCCTGAAGGGTGCACCTTCCACGCAGGCCCGACTTCCCCAGTCTGTTTGCACATGCCCCTTTACTGTACTGTAAATAGATATTTTTGAGATTTATTTTTAAATAAATACCCACTTGCCATGTGTTTCAAAGTGGTTAAGAGGTTAATTATGTAGCTATTTATAAAATGTCCTGGGTTCATTAGTCTTCCAGAGGGGGAGTCTCATGCCCTTCCGCTGGTGCCTCGCTCGCCACAGCCCCAGGCTGGAGCAGTGTGGGGCCGAGGAGGCAGAGCCGACGCCCTCGAGCTGGTGAGAGCCGCCCTCTCTCCCGTGGGAACCTCTATACACCTACCTCCAGTGCGCACTTTGGGGGTCGGTGGGGCCCTGCATCCAGGCCCCTGTGGACGGTGGAGCCTGGCACCGCTGAGTCGGGAGCCTTGCCCTGTGGAGCTCCAGCCTGGCGTCTGGAGGGGCCTGGCGCTCGAAACTGCCAGAGTCTCGTTTGCGAAAGAGCACCTTTTGGGATTCCCCCGGCCCACCCCTCCATCTCAGTCCTCTTCTCGTCACCTGCTTCCAGGACTCCCTGCAACTTCTGCGATCTTTTTTGCACTAAAAGTGGGCTGGAGCCGGCGTGCCCCGACCCGGCAGACCCTTGGGATCCTCGCTGAGCCTCAGTGCTTCCAAGCCAGCTGGCCCCTACACGCTGCATGTGGATGACTGACCCTGGAGTTTCCTTTTGGGGTGTAGAGCAGGAGTTTGAAAATAAAACCGCTTTCTTGTGAATTACTATATTTTAGCCATAAGTATTTGTGACGTGCAGAGTGTCGAAGGGATTTACATGCAGTGGGTTTCTGGAGGCGTTCAGCTCTTGCGCAGATTTAAATCTGGCTGAACCCTGAGGCCACTGTGAATTTGCTGATGTTCTTCCAACTCAGTTGAGTGATTTTAAGGTTTTCCAGATCTTCTACTGCTCTTTTTATATATCTGGTAGAACTATGTAGATAGTCACTGTGTAAATGAGACTGAATTTCACCCAGCTTTCCTAAGACCAGCTTATTCTCGGGCATTCATCTGTAATGTTCTTCCTCTTCACGTTCCAGAAGTGTCGATGCCTGTCCCACTCCTGAGAGCTCTAGTTTTCTAGTTTTCCGTTTCTAGATCGCTCTAGCATTACAGTAACCAATCTTTTAACTAACCATGATGCCACGTAACTTTATCAGCGAACAAAGCAGGCCCGGCCAGGTCAGCTGGGGGAGAATGTGCACTGTGCGTATCACGCAGGACACCGTATCCCGGACTGGACTAGGAAGTGCTATGGCGCTCGTCGCGGTGTGTATCTCACTGTATGAGATTGCTGTGATTGATCGTTCAGTATATGCTAATTTAAAAATGCACATGTTTTGCATTTGATTTATACGAAGAGTTGAAATGTTGAGAGATGATTTAAAAATAATAAAGTGTCTTCCATTGTTAAATGAACTGTTTCTGGGCTTTATGTTGACTCTTCCCGCTGCGTTGGAGTTTGGGCTGCCTGGACGGCAGCGGGGGTGGTGGTGTGGGGCCTGTTGGAGCTGATTTGCGTTCTCTAGTGACAGAACGCAACATTTTCTCTTCCATAGGGCTGACAAAAATAGCGCCTGAGTGCCTCTGCGGGCCAGGTGCTCTGGGTGCTGAGACTTACAGAGAGCAGTCGGGTTTCCCAAGGGAGACTGTGCGCTCCGGAGGGATGATGGGGGCAGCTGACAGGTGGTCAGGGGAGTTGTAGGCACCGCCTCTGCGCTCGCACTGGTGCTCTCATCGTTGACAAGTGCTTCATCAAGTGTCACCAGAAGGCAAAATCAGCATACTGGGTGCTTTTGTGCCTAAAGGTTTGCTTTGGTGAGACGTTCTTGTTGTGAATTGAGTTCTCTCTTTTTTAAAGATTTACTTATGATACAAGAACTCGGGTGTAGACCGAGGTGCAGGGGGCCCAGAGAGAGTGGGGAACAGAACAGGTGCATCTTCTAAAGTCCACTGCTGAGGGAGCAGGGGCAGGTCAGGAGAGGCCTGCTGATGGTGCTGTGTCTTTAATCCCTGCGCCACCAGGGAGGCCAATTGAGTACTCTTTTTTTTTTAATGTAAACGATCTTTTTTTTTAATTTTATTTCAGTGTATTTTACATTTTTACTTTTTTTTTTTAAGATTTATTTATGCATACAGAACTGGGGTACAGGCCAGAGGTTTGGGGGTGAGAGGATTCATCAGAGACACTGGGGAGCAGAACAGGAAGATGGACAAAGTACAGCAGAGGTCTGCCGTGCCACATGGGTCACCTCCGGCACCAAGGATCAAACTCGCACGGAAGCAGCTGAGCTAGCTTCGCAGTGCTGCGTCCTAAACCATTACGCCACCAGGGAGGGCTGAGTTCTCCTTTTTAAGAGAAGTTTCTACACAGTGTGGCCACAGCAGGAGTCCTGGAAGGGAATCCCTTCTTCAGTCTTCAGCAGATGGCCAGTGGGTTGCAGTCCATTCAGATTCGCTTTTGGTGGTTTGGTTTGCATGTGTGTTTTTTATATTTCTTAAATACATGGTGATAAACATTTTTGTTAGAATAAGAATTTCTACTTTTGTTGGAGTTTATCACGGTGCAAAAATTTTAAATATCCTTAGGGCTTTGGTTATTGATTTATATTTGACTTTTAAACATAATACTGGGGAAACTAAATTACATTTAGTATTTTAAATTGTAATTGACAGTTGTAATTTTTTCAGACGTATTTGTGACCTAAAAAAGCAAACAAACAAAAACCACACATTGAAGGACATCATGAAAATTAACTCCACTTTCAACTTTTCCCTCCTGCGAGGAGGGAGTAATGCCTCAAGGCGGAAGTCAGCTCAGTGCCAGCTTGTCTCAGAAAGTAGGCGGCGGGCTCAGAGCCTTCCGCAGCAGAGTTCCCAGTTACTTCTATTTAAGGCAGGCCATACCTCCTTCCATTTACAGCAGTCCTAAGAATCACTTTAAAAATCAGTTTAAGGTGTTTTTATAAGGAGCTGACTTAAAGGAAGAGGGCCAAGTCTTAAGGGTGGTGGGAGAACAGTTGTGGGTCCTGGTTTTAGGCCTGCGCCTGTGAGCTGACCACGGCGGGCGTGGTCTCCAGGAGGTGACCCAGCTGCCAGGGAAGAGAGCCAACAGATTCTGCATTTCAAGCACTGGCTGGCCAAATGGGCAGGCCTCGGGCCAGACCAGGGCCCAGGTGTTGCGATTGTTTCCAGTGCTGGTGCAGGAAACGGCAGGGCCTTCCGGATGCCTGGAGCAGCAGCTTCCTAGAGGGCAACACCTGGCCTGGGAGAGCCCAGGAAGCCAGCGGCTCCTTCCACATCCGAAGCTGAGCCAAGACCATGGAGCAGGCGGCCTGATTTGTGGATGTGACTGACAAGCATGTTCCAACCTCAGCAGGCCGGCACCTGAGCTCTGCCACCAGCCCTGATGCGTCTTGGGGATGAGCGCAGTGGCAGACTCTGCCAGCCGTACCCCAGCCTGCGGGTCCTGCTGCTGCATGCCCTTCCTAGAGGCCCTGATTTGGACCATCCATTTTCCGGGCCACTCAGAGAAATACCTTTCCCACCTCCATGCAGCCAGCACACTCACAGCACTGTGTGCCCCTTGGAGGGAAAAGCTTTGCCTCAGGTGGCTTCTCAGGCATGTCCTTCAAAGGAAGGAGTTGTCCTTCTTCCCACCCTGACCCTCCCTCCTGGCTGTGCTGGCCGGGAACCGGCGACCAGGTGAACTCAAAGGCGCTGGCCGGAAGGGGCTGAGCGAGCCCCTGATGCTCAGGGCGCTGCCACCATGGCCAGCCTGCCCCTCCCTCAGCTCCAGCGAGGAGTTAGCCATTTGCCTACGCTATTCCTTTTCCAATTGTGTCTTTAAAAACTCTGTCATTGACAGAAAAGTGGGTCTGGTGAGCCTCCTGAGTGCTGGACGCAGCTTCAGTTCACGGTCCCAGCTTGTGGTCAGCTCGGTTTCCCCCTGCCTCTCCATCCCCTGCCCCGCCTAAATTCTTTTGAAGCAAATTGCGAGCATCGATTTCACTTTTGGCTATTCCAGTGTATACATCTAAAGACAAGGACTTTGAAAACATGACACCATTTTTATTGCAATTCCTAGTACATTTTTATTACAGTTCCTTAGCAGCAAATATTTCACTGCTCTCCATCCAGTTGCTTTAGAAACCCGTCCTTTGAGAAGTTTGCATCAGGGCCTAAATGTAATCTCTGAAGATCTTCAACCCACTTTCACTCTCCAGGCCCATCTTAGACGTCTTTTTTTCCTTGACGTGAATTTATCGAAGACTTGTCTACACATTGTCCTTAAGAATTTGCCAGTCTGAATCTGTCAAATGCGTCCCTGCTGCTGTCCAGCATGTTCTTCTCTCTGGAGACTGGGGGTCGTCTCTTCCCCCAATTCCTTATTGGTTATTTGCACATATTATATAAAGGTAGAAAATTAAACATTTCTGATAGGTGTAATAAATAAGGGGTGAGAAGAAAGCACTTAAAACAGGGGTGAGGCTTGGTGCATAGATAGAGTCGAAGGCCCAGATGGGCCGAGTTCTCACACCCGCAGGTGTCCACTGGTAACATATTTCAGGTCCTGTGTGAGGAGGCGGAAGAGGTTGTACATGACAGAGGTTTCCAGGCAGCTCTGGGACTCCTTCTTCCAGGCCTCCTGGAGCCGGTGCAGCCAGTGCTGGAGGCGGCCCTGGGGCCTGGGGCTTGCTGTGGGTGGAGCCGGGACACAAGCCTGGAGCTCAGTGTGGATGCGATGCAAGGTGTGAAGAGGCCGGTCCAGGACGGCCCCCAGGGATGTGTTGGTCAGGGCCCCCAGGACTTTCAGCGTCAGGTCCAGCTCGGCCTCCAGGGCCACAGGGCGCTCCCACACCTGCAGGTGCCTCAGGGCCCTGGTCTTGGGGAAGGGGTGAGAGGCGCAGCTCCGGTTCTTGGTGGACAGCGATTCTTCCAAGGCGTTCCTGGCCTTCCTGAAGGCATCCAGCTCCCTCGGCGACAGAGATTGGAACCTGCTCATGCGGCAGTTCCTCCTGTTTGTGATGGGCTTGGAGGTGGGGACAGGGCCTGCGCTGGCCAAAGCTGCCACCATCACCACCACGGTCAGCCAGGTGCAAGTCAGAGCCATGGTCAGTTCTCAGCTGCTCCTCAGCTGCATGGCTCTTTTTAGCTGGGCTCCCTGGGCAGCCCCGCTGATGTTTGTAAACTGAAAAGGCAATGGGGAATGGCCACCTTGAGAAGGCAGAAATGGGCGGGCCAATCACCAAGCCAAGTGAGTAGACAGGTGTGGGTGGGGCTATGTGAACCTGGAGCTGCTCAGAGAAGGAAACTGAAATTCCGTTGCAGGAGAGAGCCTTGTATCTGAGAAGTCCCTCAGCCTGAAGAATCCCCAGTGATGACTCCCTGGGAAAACCTCCAGCTAGCTGGCTTTGGGGAGTCCCTGACCGAGCTAGTGGAGGGAGAGGAAAGCAGCTCGAGGACTAGGAAACCAGTTGGAGGACTAGGAGAGGAGCCCGGAAGTAGGAGAGGAGACTGGGTGTGGGAGAGGAGCCCGGGAGTGGGAGAGGAGCCCGGGAGTGGGAGAGGAGCCCAGGAGTAGGAGAGGAGCCCGGGAGTAGGAGAGGAGCCCGGGAGTAGGAGAGGAGCCCGGGACTGGGAGAGGAGCCCGGGACTGGGAGAGGAGCCCGGGACTGGGAGAGGAGCCTGAGGACTCCCCTAGCGAGGCAGGGACTTTGTGGGAGAAGGTGAGAAACTTCCCCATGGTGGTGGGATATGTCAGCACACGTGATAGAATTGTGCAGAAGCCTGTGCGCACACACACGCACACAAATGCACACTCGGGTGCACCCAGAGTGAAATCTAGGCAGGGTTGGTGGGTTGTATCAGTGGCAGTTTCCTGGTTGTGACACTGCTCTCTAGTGGCACCAGATGTCACCCTGGGGAAACAGCACCATGCTACGTGGGATTTTTTTGATTTCCTGTGAATTTGTGACTCTATTTTGAAAAGGCCAAAGCAAACTCATATTATTTGATTGCTAGTGGTATAGAGGGGAAGTGCTCAGTTCTCCTTTTGCTTTTACTTGAAATAATGAATCGACGCTTTAGGGTCTGCCAACAGTGGCTGTTTTTAAGTGTCATGAACTCATCGATGTCAGTGTATTTTAAGTATTCCTGCCCCTTGCATTACTGTTGTTATCGATACTCAAATTTCTCTCTGTGGCTTCCTCAAGCTGCCTCCGAAGCCCTCCTGACACGGCCCTGGAACTTTTATTCGGCATGACGAGGGGCTGCAGCCTCACCTTGTGTTTTCTGCCCAGGCCCTGGAGCCAGGTGTTTCTCGAGTCCTGGCTTTTTTACTGCAGAGTGATTGTTTTAGGTCTTACCAGAGAGTAGAGCCAGGAACAGATTTACATTCAGAAAATAATCACAAGGTCACACACTTTACATTCAGGACCGTAGCATTTGTGATTGACTTCACTCTGTCCTCCCTCCACTCCCCACCAGGCTAACTAAGAATTCTGGTTCTCAAGGGAGGCCACTACCAATTCTGATTTTGATTTTGATTTCATCACTCAGCACTAAACCTAATCTTGATGCGTAAGTTGGGGTTGGGTGTTGGGGCCTGGGGCAGCTGGCTCAGTGTCCCCCCCACCCCCATAGTGGGGGAGTGGAAGACAGAGGCGCATTTGCAAGTTGGCACAGATGTTGAACTCCTGGATCCCTGCTGCCGTGTTAGGAAAAGATACAGGGGAGGCCAGGTGTGGGCGGCACAGTTTAAAGGCAAGCCCTCTCTTCGCCCACTCCCTGGAGGGCGCTTGGTGTCAACCTTCCAGCCTTGCTTTACACTTATCTGCATCCTGAGGACCCTTGTTTACCTCTTCCACTGTCTTTCCAGCTCGCTTCCCGGCTCCCTCAGTTACCGTTGATGCATTCGCTTCAGGGTCATCACTGCTCCCGAGGTGACTGTGCTGTGGCTTATGCGTTCTCCTAACGAGGAACATCCGGTTGCTTCTCATGCTTTGCTATTAGCACCATCCCCGTGGGTGTCTGCCACACACAAGTAAGGGCAGGGGTGGGCAAATGCCCAGGTAGTGACAATTTCTGGCTTTGTGGGCCAAGAGATGAAAATAAAGGTATATGGGTACTTATCATGAGAGAAAACAAATTTCCCAATTTGTTTTTTATTAAACAAAATCTGAAACTTTATGGATGCTGGAATTTGAATTTCATGTCATGAAACATTATTCTTTTTCCTCAGCCATTGAGACCATAAAAAGTCTCATCCCTCTGGTAGTACAAAATTAGGAGGCAGGCTGGGCTGAGCCCGAGGCAGCCTGCCCACTCCTGCTGTCCAGGGCTTAGGCCCTGGATGGGCTGCTGGGGTGAAGGGTCATGGGTGTCTCTGACTTGGACAGAGCTAGAAGCTCTGCAGAGTGGCTTTTCCATTTGGAGTTTCATCAGAGCACTCGAGACTGGTTCCCTGGTGCTCTTTATACCAGATCAGCTCTCTATCATGCACTGTCTTCTGGTTCTGGTTTCACTTAGATCCACATTTTGAAACGTGACAATATTCGTGTGTTTTTTTACTATTGGATAAATGATCCTCATAAAAGAAATGGAAAACGTGTATGATCAAGATTTTTTAAGTGATTCACAATCTTTCCACACAGAACTGAAGTTGAAGTTTGGCATGTCCTTGCAGATTTTTCCTATGCAGACACACACACCGTAGTTTAACTTTTAGAGGCTCACACTGCATACGTTGTTTTGAAGTCTGCTTTTCTCGCCTCATGAAGCTGTGTCAGTATTTTTGTTTTGCCTGACAAAATCTAGGCAGAAGTGGCACAGTTAGAACATTATTGTCTCACGTGGTAGCGCGAAGGAGGACAGGCCCTTGGTCTGTCAGTGTCACTAAGAACTCTCAGGCCTCCGGCCTCTGCTCTGCCTCAGCGTGGAGCGGATGGCCTCCCTGGCTGCAGCGGGCCCAGGCTCACATCCTGACAGGAGGGAAGGCAAAGATTGCCATCAAAGGTGGCAAAAGGGAGCCAAAGAGGGCCACGTGGGCCTCATATCAAGCCCTTGCCCCCACTTGGATTGGCAGCCCTGGTATGGGTAGTCTGGGTGTCATCCCCCCAGCGCCTTCCTTTGGCTGAGGGGGAGGGACTGGGGTAAAAGCGTTTTTTTTTTTTAACTAAGGTGCGGTTCTTGCCTTGGGCCAGAAGGCCCATGCCAGGGTCAGGTGGGCCCGGCCTGGTTGAGTTACTCCATGTTTCTGTTTGCACCTGGTACTTGGAGCAACGCTGGAGGCCTCTGGAAGTGGTGGGGGCAGGCCTGCTCAAGACTCCACAGGCGAGGCCACTGCCTTCCTCCAGGGGGTGTGGAGGAGCCCCAAGCTCAGGCGTCGTGTCTGGGCAGGTCAGCAGGTGCCTGCTTCCACACAGGCAAGGGCCTACCAGGGGCGGCTGTGTACCCCAGGAGGGCCCTGGGAAGATGGGTCCCTAGCACCTGGAGAAAGCAGGCTGGAGGCTGGGCCTGGCCTGAGCCGGCCTCCCAGCCTCCCGTGCTCCTCACTGAGGGCGCAGACACAAGTCAGTCCTCACTCCTGCCCACTGGCCACTGCTTCTCTGACAAGCTGTTGCTGCTGGCCTGGAGGGGCGGGGAGGTGGTGACCCAGAGCCGAGTCCAGGGCTGTGGCCACACATTCGCAAAGTTCCTGAACACAAACGAGGCCTGATCAGAGTCGGGAGCATTCACTTTTATTTCTAGAGCCATATCCTGAAACAGCGCCGTTACCACTCTCCCCGAAATCTGCAGAGTCCAGCGAGGTGAAGCAGGGCCCAGGCTCAGCAGCCCCCTCCCAGCACGGCCCCGTCTTCCCGGCCAAAGCCCCATCAAAAGAGCAGCCAGTCATTTCTCAGGAGCCAGCACCTGGCAAGCCCCCGCCACTCCACTTGTGGGGGCAAAGGGATGTGCTGGGCCTTCCCAAAGGCCCTTCAGACAAACATACGAAAGCAGCACGGAGACAAAAGGCCTCCGGGTCTCAACCCGAAGCCAGGGCGCAGGCGGCCTCGGCCGGTGCTGTGCAGGAGAGCAAGCGCCAGGAAGGCGGCCCTCCCACGTGACTGACAGGCTGTGGTGCCCGTCCCACGGGGCTGGCCCCCCATCCACACGCAACCTCAGGGGTCCAGCCAGGGCCGCAGCAGCAGCTGAGCGCCCCACGCACCTCAGGCAGCTGTGCAGAGCAGCGGAGCCCAACCCACAGGTGAGGGGGGCTGAGTGTGTTTGCCCTCTGGGTTATGTCGGGGGATAGGTGGGTGGGAAGGGGGCTTGCAGGGGAGGGGAGGGTGCCGATGGGGTGAGCCAGCAGAAACCAGAAAGCCAGCCTCCTTTGTCACATGGCCAGTGACAAGGAAATTCCCTGGACTTCTAACCCCATTTGTGTGAGAAATGGCAGAAGCCTAAAAGGAAGGGGTCTGGCTGCTTGCTTCGAAGCCTTGATTCTGACAGAGGCGTTTTCACTGAGACAACACTGCCTGGGCCTTCGGAGACCGGGGTCTGTGGGACAACTTGAGCTTCAGGCTGTTGTGTCAGGCACCTTTGGGTTTGATTTCCCACCTGCCAGCCAGTAGATACGCGTCTCTCCCGCATTCTGGAGGGGTGGGGGAAGGACCAGGGACCTTTGCTCCTTTTGTGCACTTAATATTGTGACCAAGACACCAAGTCGTGCCTGGACCGTTGATGGCCGTGATTTGGCTGAGGAGAAGCAGGCCCACACGCTCCCCCACCTTCCCGCTCCCCCTCAGCAGAGCGGGATCCGGGCTCTGGCCACCCTGCCAGAGTGTGGGGCCTCAGCCTCTGCCCCCGCACCCAGGTGGAGACAGAGCTTCCCTCTTTGCTCTCTTGTCCACTAAAAGGAAGTAGGAGATGGCAGGGACCAGAATTACCCACTGCATTACTCCTCCGTGGGGCCTTAGGCGGAGGAATACGACTCTGTTGGCGCAAATGGTGGCGTTAAGGTGGGGGTGGCACACAGGACAGCAACTTCATTGTAGCTGTATCAAGCACAAACTTACTCACGCATAAAAAGGAACCTGTGTGCTTCCTGCTGACTGGCCTTAGGGTGACTCTGCCAGGGAGGTAGTGTGCGGGCCGGGCCTGGCACCCGTTCCAGGGGGTTCCACAGCCCACTGCCGAGGCAGAGAGGATGGAACCGGCCTGCTACCCGCCTGGGGTCTGTGCTGCCTGCACGGCCCGCTGTGCCCCCACGAGAACCCAGGGCTCGCATGTGATGAGTGAGATCACCTGGAGGCTGAGGAGGGCGCCCAGAGGCTCCTGCTGGAGCCTGAGCCAGCAGCTGTGGGTGAGCAAAGGCCCGCAGGCAGGAGGCCTGTCAAGGGGCAGGGAGGAGCAAAACTCAGGAACTCCATTTCACCTGCACATGATTGGCAGCTCCCCACCTTGGGAGGGCCCCAGGACAGGCCGCAGGAGGGAGGGGGGAGCACTGCTGCTCGGGCCCCAGCCAGGACCTTGGCATGGGGGGCAGATGGCACCGGGACAGTAAAGAATGGGAGAGGGAAAGAAGAAATGCTGACTTGCAGTGAGGGTAAGTGGAGGGCAGACATCTTGGGGTGCAGGAACAGGGGCACTGGACAAACAAGAGCTAGGCCCCAGGCGGGGCTCTCCAGTGTGAAAGTGCGTGTGAACTGCAGGCCCAGACGCCCTGCACCGCTGGCTTTTCCCTCTAGAGGGCGCTCTGACCCCACGGAATGGGCTCAATCACGCTAAAGAAACCCAGGGGTGCAGCTTCCAATGGGCTCCGGAGCCGCCTGCCGGCACCAGTGTAAACATTCACAGCCCTGCCAGGGGAGGCGGGTCTGTTGTGCGGCCACAGCCAGCGAGGTACCTTGGGTGTAACCATGAAAAAGCTGCCTCCATTTTTCTTTCCCGAGGGCGCATAAGCAACATCACAAAGGGGAATGAGGTTATCACGACTTCTGGGCCTGCCACTTAGGCCGGATTGGCTGTGCAGCTGAGGGCCGGGAGGTCGGCCCCTGGGGCAGCTCCCCCAGTGGTGCGGCTGGCACAGGCACCCCTCGGGCAGCCCCAGCGGCTCCTGGGGCGGTGGTGAAGGCAGTGGATGGGAATGGTGGGGACACAGCCAGCGCGCCCCAAGCACCCCAGCCAGCGCGCCTGGCAGAACCGCTCCTCTCTGGCATCTTGGGTGGAGACCGCTCAGTCCGGCTGCAGAAGCAGAAAGGCACGTTCACCTGACAGGTGACAGCCATCTGCAGGCCGAGAAGCAACTGGGCGCAGAGACCTGGCTCCGGGAAGACTGGGGCTATGACACGCTTCAGAAGCCAGCTGGCTCCCAAGGCCTGGAAAGTTCTGGGTTAAAGTTCTCGGCCGCTACTTCTCTCCCCTCCTCCCACCTCGGAGAGGCTGCCAGATGTCCGTCCTCACTGTCCGCTGCCCGCAGCACCCGGTGGTCACAGCAGCTCCTGCTCGTCGTCCTCGGAGCCAGAGGGGCCCTGGCGCACCTCCTCGTACCACTTGTTGGTGAGGGTTTTCATTTGGATGCGCCCGTGGTGGAGGTCCTGGGGCAGGAGACACAGCAAGCCTTGTCAGGGGGCAGGGTCCGGCGAGGAAGGAGAGAGCTGTCTGGTCCCTTGCGGGGAGACAGGAGGCAGGCTGGCAGGCCACAGAGGACCACAGTGTGAACTGACTGACTTGAGCCGGCCCTTGGCTTTGTGGGGGAACAGACGGGGTCACTCAGACACAGGAGCAGGAGGCAGGATGGGGTGGTGTTAACGTGGCCTCTGCGAGCAGACACTTAAGTTCTGCTTACAGCTTTGCCACGTGCTGGCTGTGTGAGCCAGGGTGGGGTCCTTCATTTCCCTGGGGCCTCCGCTGCATCTCCCGTCCCCGGCTGTGGGAGAATGACACGATAGACGCGGGCCCAGCGCCTGCTCCTAGTAAGCTGGCCGCAGTCGTGACTGCGAGGTGGGGGAGGGGGTGCGGAAACAAAGGGGGCAGCACCCAGAAGGCCTGTGCGGGCAGGAAGGTGATTTCAGCAAAGCCCACCCACGTCGGTCCCTTTGAGGCCCTAGAGGCTGCTGGGCCTCAGGAGGGAAGGGGAGCCCCAGCGTAGGGCCACGGCCGAGGGCCTAGCAGGTCTGACTCCTCGCTCGGATTCGGGAGCTGATCACTGTCCCTGGAGTCGATCAAGCAGGAAAACACACCCTGTTACAAGCCCGTTGTTAAACCCGCGCCAGATCTGGTGTCCCGGGAGAAACAGCAGGTGCCGAGTCCCGCTGGCACCCGCAGCTTGAGAGCCTGGGCAGGGGAAACCCAGCAGGAGGCAGCAGCCTGGCCTAAAGGCCCCCACCAGCCTCCCTGCCCACCCGACGTGGGGCCTCTGCAGGTTCCGAGGTGGGGGAGGCGAGGGGCCCCTGGCCCACCTCTTGGGTCAGCCGCCGCGTGAAGAAGGGGTTCAGGTACTTGGCATCCAGCCACACGAAGCCCTTGAGGTCCTGCCGCCTGAGGTAGTGCGCCTCGTACTCCTCCTCGGTGAGCTCCGACAGCTGCTCCGACTCGACGGTGTCGCCCTGTGGGGTAGCCGAGGCCGTCAGCAGCGTCAGCAGCGCCTGCCCGGAACCCCCGGACCAGGCAGCCTCCATCCGGGACACTGGGGTCCCGAATCTCAACTGTACTTTCCCATTACTATGGAGGCCTGTGGGCAGCAAGCAGCCCCGTGAAAGCCCACAGGAGGGAGGTCAGTCAGTCAGTGAAAACACAATGAAGACCTGGGACCCCGCCCAGTGTAGAGAAAGACGAAGTTCTGGGTGGGGCTGAACCAGAACCGATGTCCATTAAGTGCCGGCACAGCGCCAATTTAGTTTTGGAAACAGCTGGTTTGGAAAATGGCGGTACCCTGAAGGGGATCCAAGCAGCGGCTCCAGGCTACCGGGAGCCCAGGAAGCCACGTCGAGGTGGGCCTGCCGAGAGGCAAGGCTTGACTCGGCGTGGGGAGGCTTCCGTGGGTTGGAGAGGGGCTCCCGGGGGAGGCCTGCTCAGCTTGGGAGGGGCTTCAGGAGGAGACGGATTTCGGCGCCAGGAGGGCCGCTGCTGCAGTGCGGCCCCAGCAGCACCCGGGAGCACCCCAGCTGCCTCAGGGGAGCTGGATCTCGGTCCACCGCTTTCCCAGCTCCAGGCTCCCTTCGAAGGGGCAATGCCATCTGCGGCTTTTGGCTTGGACGCCGCTGGCCCGACCTGGGGTAGGACAATTTCCACTTTGTAACCCTGGTTTTTTCATATCTGGAGATTAAGCCGTGCCTTGCAATTACGAGTGTGCGGATGAGGAGCCCATGACTGTGAAATCCCCCCAAGGGTTGCTCATTTTCACTTCCTGAGGTCCATCAAGGCACCGTAGGTCAGCCGAGGACAGCCACACAGTGCCTGCGCCTCAGAAAACATTCCCTCAGTAGCAGCTGTTCTTCCGCTACACATCCGGGGTTCTGCTACAACCAGGCTCCGCTAATGAGGCCCGGGCATCTGGATGCAGCAGCACCTGGCAACTTGTCAGAAATGCAGATTTGACCCGGAGCCCTCAGCAGCTGAGAGGACCACAGAAGTCCTGGTTGGGGGCTTCTGTACCTTCCATGATGGCCTCAAATAAGGGATTGAAAAAAAAGACTTGGATGGGGGAGGCGCAGGAAGGTGGGATGAGAGGCCAGTGTGGCCTCTGCTCCCATCAGCAGCCTGGCTCAGCCGTGCCCGGAAGTGGCCCCACAGCTGACGCAGGAGAGGTGGCTGAAAGGTGGCGGGGTCTGGGTCTCAGCCTCCGTGCAGCCTCACCCGGGAACCTCCAGTCCCAAATTGTGCTCATCTTTTCTGGGTGGAGGCCCCTCTCTCGGGGGCCTCAAAGCCACCGCCAGCTCCATCTCCAGCCCCCAGCGGGGGGCTTTCCTTAAAGGTTGGGGAATGATGTGATTTTGGAACCTTTCAGGCCTGACCCTGAAGGGCGGCGTGGGTGATGGGAGAATGCTGGCCAGCACCATGGTCCAAGAGTGCCAGGCTCTGAACTCGGGTTCACCTCCTCAGGTGGGTGCCATGTGTGGGGTGCTGGGCTCCCTCGGCCTGCCTGGCCCGGCCCCCACCCCCACCCACTCACCATCTTCTCCGTCTTGCTGAGGTTGACGTCCTTCTTGTTCCTGCGGCGTGCCTTGGCGTCCTCGATGTCCATGAGGCGGATGAGGGGCATGGTGCTGCCGCCCAGCAGCAGGATGGTGAAAAGCACGATGACGATGGTGGTGGTGCCAACCAGCTGCCGCTTCTCCATGGGCTCCAGGTCCAGGTGCAGGCTCAGGGCGTAGGGGATGGCGCCCCTCAGGCCTGGAGGGGAGTGAGGAAGTGAGGTGGGAGAGGGCAAGAAAGGCCCCCCACTGACCCCCCTGGAGAGCAGGACTCATTCTCCCAGGGAGAAGCTGCTGGAGAGAAGTGGGGCTGGGCGGAGCCCCGTTCCACTCCCCCATCACACAGTAGCCGGCCAGGGAGGCGGCCTGTCCAGGCCCCGAGCTTCAGGTGTGGCACGTGAAGCTTTTCCAGTCTGGATGCTCTGGTTCCGGACAGCTCGCAGGCGCAGACAGGCCTCCCTGTGGGCCAGGTGGCTGTGCATGCTTGCTCGCGACGGGAACCCCGCTGGGCCGGTCGTTTGCACTCTGTGGTGTTCAGGTGAGGGACCCAGACTGAGTGGGTGTCCCCTGCAAAGCACTGAGGGCGCCTGCCCTGCCCCTCTGCTACCTGAAGATGCTGCCCTCACAGGCCCACAGCACTGAGCTGCCCGGCAGCTCTGCCGGGGCCGGAGACATCATCGTGGCCTCTTGCTCACTCCCCTTTCGTGCCCTTCCTAGGTTGAACCCCGGGCCTGAACTGAGCTGGGAAACTCCCTGGCTTGCTGGCTGCCAGTGGAAGGGGGTGGGGTCCTGCCCCTGGGGAGCTCCCAGAGCAGTGGCAAGGGAGACAACATGTGAGAGGGTGGCCGAGCACTCAGTGACAGGCCCGCCCCAGACAGGGGCTGGGACGCTGCAGTCATTTGGACCAAGGTGAGGACACGAGGTGGGGGGAAGGGGCAGAGGAGGTAGGGGGTGGCTGGTGCGGGGGTGTGCCCGAGACTCGGGGCCTAGCTGAGCAGTAGCCTGAGCATGAAGTGTGGTTCCTGGTTTCACCTCTGCCCCCTGCTTTCTCTTTGGGACCTCCCAGGCTGGGGTGAGTGGCCCAATGCAGCCTGTTCCAAAGGGCCTGCAAATGAAACAGCCAGCACAATCAGAGTGTCTGCACTGTACCTAAGGAGGAGTTAGGAACAGGTGTCTGGGTCGGAGGAAGGGCCTGGGCGGGGCCCCTGCGGGAGAGTGGGGACTCGATGGGATGGAGGCTGCAGGACGGGCGCTCTGAACTCAAGACCAGAAGTAGGTCTGGGCTGACTCCAGAGGAAGCCAGTATTTGAGGGGTCAAGAGAAGAGGGGAAGCTGGATGGGAGCCTGAGGCTCCCTCGAGGGAAAGGCAGGAAGCCAGGGAACGGCCCAGGGGCAAAGGACCAGGGGAATAGGGCCTTGGCCAGGAGGCATGAGGGCTGGGCAGGAAGGAGCCACGGCCAAGGAGGTGGGCAGGATGGGGCTGCCAGCGGCCTGCGGACTTGGCTGTACCTGACCCGGCTGAGGTCAGCAGCAGCTTCCTGCAGCCAGACTTGGAGTCGAGGAAGTGGAGAAGGTGGGTGAGGTCAGCCCGGTCAGCCCAAAGAAGTGTGGCTGTGAAGGGAGGGCGCAGGGGAGCGGCAGGAGGGGCTGAGGGGCCCTCAGGATTTGATTGAGGTGGTTGGCTTTTTGCTGGAAGGAGACTCTCAACAGTTTAAATGATAATGGGAGGATCCAGCAGAGGTGGGGTCCAGACACGGGAGGGAGGCCCAGGAAGGCCTGCGAGTGGAACCGGGTCAGGAGCCCTCACTGTTTAAAATGTCCCCCTTCCCCACGGAGGGTCTTATGGCCCCTGCCAAAGAGCTAACACGACCTTCTCAAATCCTGACATGGTTCCTGGACTTTGAGGTCGTCAAGACCTCGGATCCTTAGTACTTGACAAATATTTTTAGCAGTACTGCTTTTCTCAAAGGTTGAGAAGGAAAGATTTCCCTCAAACACTCACACTCATATATATCACATGGATAGATGTATACATTTTAAACAGATATTTTTGAAAATGAATTCTGGGAGATCTACAGATATGCCGTTAGCTGGAAAACAGATTCTAAAACATATTGCTATACCCCAACCCACATGGAAATTTTTTAATTATACTATTTAAGAAAGCACAAAGAACTGTATGTATTGCTCAAAAATAAATTTAAAGATGCCTAAGGATCTAGTGTTTTTGGAGCCAAAGATTTATGAAATCACTGGCAGCCTTCAAAAAAACAGAGGAATACTGGCCCTCCCTGGTGGCACAACGGGTCAGGACGCAGCACTGCAGGCTGGCCACAGCTGCTTCAGCACCAGTTCAATCCCTGGCCCCGAGGTGACCCACAGGGTGTGGCAGACCTCTCCTGACCCGCCCGCTGCTCCCCGCAGCAGTGTGCTTCATCGATCTGCCCACTCTGCCTCTGGTGAATCCTCTCACCACCCCTGTACCTCTGGCCTGTACCCCAGTTCTGTATGCATAAATAAATAAATCTTAAAAAAAAAAAAACTGAACAGGACCTGAAGTGTTCAGGCAGCCCAGAGCAGACACACTCCAACCTGGCCTGAAGCCAAACAAGTGTAAGTGCTGAGCCTTTATCTGCAGCTCGAAAGCTTGCAGGTGATGGAGCTCTTGTTGGCTGCAGCTGCCCTGCCCTCAGGGAGGGTGAGCGGGAGGAGGGCAAGTCTTTGGCCCTGGAACCTCAGCTTCCTCACGTGCAGCACTGCGGGGAGCGGGGGGTGAGCCCCAGCTAGTTAAGGGCTCCCCCACCCCCCACTGGGCCTGGTTGCAGCCCCTGCCTGTGGAGTGGTCCACGGGGAATGTGTGTTTCCGAGGGGCTGAGCAAAGAGCCCCGCGCCCTCACACACACGTGTTCCCTTTGTGACGGGAGCTTTTCCTCCACGGTCCCCTCCAACTGGACTTACCACTAAACCACATGATGAACATCATCTTGGGTGTGATTTTATGATCGCGGAAGAAATTCAGGAGGTAGGAGAGAGGGAAAATGTTCACCGCTCTGCCGAACAGCACGAGCACCTGTTAAAAGCAACGAAGGATGTATTCGGTGGAAACCTGCTCTTGGCGTGGCGGCTCACGGCACGCCCAGGCACTCCTGGGCATGAGACACTTGGGAACCTGGCTGGGCAGCGTGTCGGGGAAGGGATGGTGCTCCGGGGCCACGTTTCAGTGGTCAGAGGGCGGACTAGCAAAATAGTGCGTGGCTTCAGCAGTGACAGCACCAGAGGCCGGAGCAGAGGGGCAGTCCTACCCCCGGGAAGGATGATCTGACTCCTCCACGGCCTGGCCACCCGGGCAGGCCTGTGTCACCAGCCCCTGGGCATGCTCTGGGGGAGAGACAGGTGTTCCTGTTTCTTCTGGGGGCGGGGGAGGTCACGCTCAGGGGAGGAGAGAGGCTGACTGGGGCCCACCTGTGATGCCCATGAATGCTACTCCTGGAGCGAGATCGCTAGGCAGGTGCTAAGAGCCCCTCCCCGGAGCCAGCCGGCTGCTTCGCAGCTTTGGGCGCTAGTCCTCTGCAGGTCATGATCTTAGCAAATAGCATCCTGTGAAGCTTTATATTCTAAGTGGATTCCTAGAACTACTTATTAATTTACCCTCATTTTCTTCATCTTGGGTCTCACCTTAACTAATTAGAGAAAAGGAATGGGCGTGAGGCGTGAGGCTTATTTGAGCCCTGAGGTGCATGCGCCTTGCCTGTGTGCCTGGGAGGTTTGTGATAATTGCTCACAGTCAGGTGGCTGTTCCAGGCCAGACAACAGCATTTTTCGTGCTAACCTGTTAGCACGAGGTCCTTGCAATGGTCTTAAGAGGTAGGTGTCACTGTTTCCGTTTTAGAGGGGAGGAAACTGAGACAGAGAGGTTAAGTGGTGCACACTGGCCCAGGCAGGTCGCAGTGGAGCCTGGTCTCAGACCCACTCAAGTCCCTAAAGCCCTGGCCTTGACCACCAGGCCACGTCAGCACAGGAAGCTTATCCTGAGAGCCCCTGGAGCGGGTGGGCAGCCCCCGTGTGCTCAGCGTTACCACCCCAGGACAGCCTGTCTTTCTCTTCCTCCCAACCCACAGCTGAGCTGGCCACTCTGCTCCGCCTGCTGAAGTGGAATCTTCCATTTCACTTGTGCTTCAGGTTCCAACAAACTGGCCCCAATTACCTGGTGTCCACACTAAAAACCAGAATATTTCCACAAAGGATCTTTGCCACTGCTCTGTCGTCCTGAAGCCGAGTTTGGAAGACAGTAAGAGGGCCAAAGCTTGCTGATAAGAGGTAGAAGTGCCCAGATTACAAGGAGAAGCATCTTCTCTGTCTCAGTTTCCCACAGACCAAACAGGTAGGCTGCTTGCCGCGGGGTAGGTGACAATGCTGGGGAAAAGCTCGCCCCTCAATAGCGAGGCTTGTTAAGTGGCATTGGGAGTGAAAGTTACCAACAAGATGGCTTCTTAAGCGCCTTAAATTAAGAGGATCTAAAAGACAAGAGGTCACATTAGGGCCCGGACTATGAATCAGCAGGAGGACTGAGGGGGGTGAGCTCACACAGTGGGGACAGAAGCCCACGGAAGACAAGAAGGGGGGACATCAGGCGGAATGGCCGGTGCATCAAGCGTGCTAGTGACTCTGACCATTGCCTGAGGGAGCTGGACCTTTCTTGTAGATGCTAAATACTTTTTTCTTCTCCATCCCCCCAAAAGGATTAGATTCTTCTGCAAATGATCAAGCTACTTTTTTCTTTTCCAAATGTGTATTTTAATTAGTCTCCTACTGCTACGCCCCTAGTCCATACAGCACTGTTTCCCAAACCTGCTTTCTAGGGAGAATCATACAGGATGACTCCTCTAGACAAATCTCCAAGGAAGGGAAGAGCCTGGTAATTTTTAAACAGGTGTTCAAAGTCAGGCTTATAGATGAAAACATTTGAAAGAAACCACCGTAAGAAGTATATGCATTATGGATTATCCAGACAAAAGAAAGAAATCATCCTTAGTTCCACAACCACTGAGAATACGTGGCTGTGTTTTCTTTACATACTTCTTTTTTCTATGTGTAATGTTTTACATGGCTATGATCAGTTACATGCAACCTGCTTTTATCACCCAAGATAGAAACACAAAGTCGTACTCTTAAAGACGATTGTAACATTCAAAGTCACTTAAAATGAAAAAAAAAAAAGAATATCTTTTCCAGAGATATTCACTTAATTTCCCCCTTTTCATTTTATTGTATGTTTGTGATTTTTTAAAAAGAAATTATAAGCAGAAGAGTATCTATGTAGCTGTTAATCCATCTAGTTAACAGTTACATATATGGATCCAGAACACACGGTTACTGGTCTACAGATAAACAAGTAAATAAAAATCAAGGAAAATACTTACTATGCACCAGATGACAAAGGAAATTTCAAACTTGTGAGGGAAACTAAAAATGGACAGGCCAAGAAATGCAAACACACATGTTTCTGAAACAAACCAAAGAATGGATTATTCAGCCCCAACTTTTTTTTTCTAATATAGCTCTAAATTGTTAGCAAGCAAACATTCAGAAGTAAGTCAGAATTCAATATAGTACTTTGCTTATTTTCTGGAAAATTCTACAACCAACACCTTGGGCAAACTTGGATTCCCTAATTTTTTTTTTTTTAATCGCACAAGCAACATGTGCTTGCTATTCAGAAACTCCTAATTTAATGAGTGAGCTGTCAAATACTCACGCAAATAAATACTCCCCCATCTGGAGATGATGATAAATATCTGAATCTGCCCATCTGCTGAACACGGTGATTAGTGAGGATCCCAACTGCGGCAAAGTGGCAAAAATTCAGTGCAAATCACCGCAGGCGCCTCATGGCTAGTGTGAAAGGGCCTTTGTTAACAGCCTTGCCAGAGCGGACAGAGCCGAAATGCCACCACCACGTTCGAAGACGCTCACGGCCACAGGCCTGGCAGGAAGACACGTTCCCACTCTGGGCCCCACTCCCTGGGTCAAACTGGCTGGCCTTCACTGGCGCTGGCCAAGCAGTCAGGTGTGCGGCCTCAGGAGGGCGCCTTCTGCGTTCCCAGCCCTGGGCCTCTGCGTGACCTGTGCCGCCCAAGGCAGCCCAGACCCGGGAGACAGAGTCTTTTAGAGTAGGCAACAACCACGACTCTGCGTGCTGATGCTTTTGCTTCCAACATGTCCTTTCAGATCAAGGCTGCGACCTGCACAGTAAACTCCCCCTGCAGTTCCTTGAGCTTTTTCTTGTCTAATAGAAGGCTGTGATCTTTCTGAGTCAGCTCATGGAGAGCACATCAGATCTATGTTACGCTTTCCCCCCCAGCATGGGTTCCTTCACGTGGCCTGTCAAGGCTAATGCATCCTGTCGGTGCCCACGCAGAATGCTCTACCTCTGGTCACAGGCTAAGCTCCTGGTGGCACAACTTCTGGGTCCCAGACCCTGTGCCTGTTAGTGCAGTGCCAAGCCACGCAGGCCGTCCACAGGGCCTACCTCACCACTGCCTCACCGGAGGGGATTACCAGGCCTGCACTCTGCAGTCTGATGGGCACCACACAGAATTTGATGGTGTCTGGCTTCACATCCTTTCATTGTGAGGGCCGGGCACGTGTTTGGCCAGTTTTCTGAGAGGCTCCCACTACACACCGGGCCAGGAAGAGGCAGCCCGGGCTTCAGACTCACGGGGCAGCTGTGAGCCTGTGGGTACCTGCCTCTGGAAGTCTCTGCCCGAACTGCCCTACTTCCTAGGGAACAACTGGGTGTAAAACTACCAAAAAGAGAACGGCCCCACGGAAATGCCAGGCTAACAGATTCAGCAGGGGGACAGGGCACTGGGCTCCGGTCAGTGGATCCTTCCCTCCTGGGTGTAAACAAGGGAAAAGGGGTCACTGGAGTGGGGGGAGGGACCACACCCTGAAACTGCTTCTAGGAAATGGTCCTCACAGCAGCCCCGCCCATTGACCATGCCGCTTGTGCAGAATCTCTGCCCATGCTGCCCTTCAGCAGTGCTTTTGTGAAAGGTTCTGTGGGCCAGTTTAGGAAACACTGCAACTACATCCCCCTCAGAAACTTCAAGAACTTGTTACACATTATTAACCCCAGTGCTTTACTTTGATTACGGAGTCTACTTTCACCTAACCGTCAGTAAGTCTTCCAGAGAATAATCTTTCTGGAAAGATTCATTTAACACATTCAAAATGCACATCTCAAATGTTCATAATTAGTTCTTATCATCTTAGGACTTAAAACTGTAGGGCAAAAGTCCTACTTATTAGGTGTTAGGGCCAGAGTCATAAAAGCAGATCAGGGAGTGCCATACCCAGCTCGGAGGGACTGGGCTTCCTTCCTGCCAGGGAGAATCCCAACTGACTCCTCAAACAGGGGCAAGAAACAGCGATTCGCACAGGGGAGGCCGGGGCCAGAGGCAGAACTCACCGCACAGGAAGGCCACGGTCCGCAGAGTCTGTTGCATGAGGATCTGGGTGACTGGGGACAGGTTGTGGTGTGTGTAGTGAGACATGACGATGCCGGAGAACAGGATAGCCATGATGCCTAGAGGGCGGGCAAAGCACACAGACGTGAGCAGGGCTGAGGGGCATTGCCTCGAGCCGCCCGCCCAAGCCCCGGAGCCCAGGGGCTGGCACCCTGAGGACAAGGCAGAGGCACTCTGCTCCCCGGGGCTGCTTTGACTCTGGCCAAGTGGACACTGCTGTGACCCCACAAGGACCGCAGCTACCTGGCGTGCACTGTTGTCCGACTCCACCCACGGTGAGCTCAACAGTCGGGGAAGAGGAAGCTCGTCAGGGGGATGTCCTTCTCCACCTTCCAGGAGGGGGAGCCCACGGACATCAGATGGGGCCATGTTGTGGTGTCTGGGTTCTTCACTATCTTGGAGAAGGCTGGGGCCACGAGAGCCATCCCTGCCCCTTCTGTGGATGCCCCCATGTTTGTGATGGGTGTGGACGACTCCCGCAAGGTTGTTAACAACACCTCCTGTAGCCCCGACCGCTTGGCCCTGTGTGAGGTTACCCACAACTTTGGCATTGTGGAGGCCCACCGTCCACGTGGTCACTGCCACCCAGGGGACTGTGGATGCACCTCTGGGGAGCCGTGTGGTGATGACCTGCGACAAAATGCGGGGCAGCGCAGCCTGCGACAGAAGGGGAGAGGGCCGGGGGCTCCTGAGGGGTCCAGAGTGCAGGAGGGGTGGGAGGGCGCTGATCCGAAGGCGCTCCCTTCCATCCTTACACTTCGGTGCTGGATGTTTCTGGCTCCTGAGCTTGCAGGGCTTGGTTTTACCAGGCTGCTTTGAGAGGGGTTATTGACTTGCTGGCCAAGCTGAGACTTTGTAGCTCTTCCTTTGAAGTTAAATCAACCAGGGAGGAGCTGGGGCCATATTTAAGTTGAGACGTGAATAGCTTCCACCCATGTGGCTGTTCTGCCCACAGAGAGGTGGTTCCACACCAGGGGGGGTCCCGGCATGAGGCAACCACTCCTGAGAGCCAAAGATGCAGGGAGTCGGGTCTGGCCGTGGAACCCGGACATTCCCTTGGGACTGACGGCCTGAGAGTTCCTGCGAGTGCCCCAGAGAGCTGCCAGCGCCCAGGCCCATCCTCCAGCAGTCCTCTATAGGAAGCAGGCGGAGTGCGGAAGGGGTTTAGCTGGTTTCACTAGAACAGGGGTGGGACACTCAGGTTCCTTAGGGACCAGACCGTAAATAGCAAAGTACTAAGTGGGTGAGCAGCACATGGTGGAAAAAGCACAAGCCTCCCCCAACGAACCCCCCCACCAAAGTGCTGGCGGAAACCCCGTAGGATGGGACCAGGTGCTGAGAAGTCTTCCTTCTGGTTTTTTGAAAGATGCCAGCAATCTGTTTTTATGGGAAATCACCCAATTTGTAATAACGGCAACACATTCAAATGCTCGAAAATTCCCTGTATGGATAAACAAGCCCAGCTGGGGGCTGAGTTCTGTGTGAAGATGGCTGCCTGGCCAACGCAGGTGAACTGCCAGACCTGCCTGCCACCCCCCATCTGGTCTGGGTGGGCATCCCTGCGGTTTTAGGGGCTGAGGGAAGCAGAGCCAGCAGCGAGGGAGAAAGGCCCAAGAGCCTCCAAAGCAAAGGTGAGCTTTTCTGCCACCCCAGCACCCGTCTGCAGCAGCTGCCTCGGGCACTGGCTGAATGTCACAGACACTAACTAGCCCCTAGTGGTGCCCACAGACCCGCTGTAACCACAGAGAAACGGCGCGGGTGTCTAACAGGCCATGAGGAAGAAAGCCCGAGACTTCTTCTTTTAGAAGGAAACCACTACCGGAAGCAGATTGCAGTCTGGCAAAACGTTCGGTCAGCCACGAGGACGGAAGGAAGAAGGGAGGAAGGAAACCGATAGCTATTGCAGTTGCTGTTTCAGCCACTGTTTAAATGTAATAAAGGAACAAAGGGAATGCGGGGTGGTTTCTGCTCAGCTGCACCCTGCTGTGGGTAGAGGCTGAGTCAAATCTTAGCACGTTTTCTTGTAAATTACAAAATTTCTTGTGAATTACAAAATGACAAACATTTTGTTTTTAAACACCAGATTCACAGGTTTAAAGTAAAACAAGGAATCTCCTTTGATACCAGCTACCCAGAGGTTAACTATTATTATTAACATTTTGATATGCAGATACTATTTTTTTTTTTTACCGTGTTTATCTTTAAAGAGTTAATAAACAGGGCTTCCCCGTGGTGCAAGGGGTTAAGTCTCAGCACCATCAAGCTATGGGCAGCCTCGGCAGCATGAGTTCGATCTCCGGCCAGGGAGTGACCCACATGGCGCAGCAGACCTCTCCTGTTGCCCCGCTGCTCCCCTCAGCAGTGGATTTCAGTAGATTTTGCCTGATCTCCTCCCCGCTCTATCTCTGGGGAATGCTCTCACCTCCTCCCCTGTGCACCTCTGGCCACACCTCCTTCTCAAGGAGACCTCCTGCCCTTAGCTCATGCCGCTCCTGAGCTCCCTTCTCCCCACCATGAGAGAGCTCCCTGAAGTGACCACTTGGGCTTCTTCATTCACTCACGATCTCCCGTCTGCAGGCAGACACCTGACTTATCTTGTTTGCTTCTTGACCCTGATCGCAAGGACAGTTCTCAGCACAAGGTGGGAAAATAATAAAATAATTACAGCTTCTCCCGACAGTGGAATGATGTTGGTATGGTTTGGTAGGTCACTTTGGGTTTGGGAAAGCTATTTTCATTAATTTATATAGAATTTTTTGAGCATCCCCCATACAGGGAAAATCTGTACTGAGGAATGAATGAATGTTTTTCCAACTTAAAATTTGACACTATACCTGGGAGTTCCTTCCATGGCGGTACAAGTAAGTCAAGCTCACTTGTTCAGCGATTGCAGAGTAGTCTGTAGTGAGAATGGGCCCAAACCTGGTCTTTCCTGTTACTGATGAACAGGAGTGGATTCTAACCCTCCTCTCGTGGACACAGCCCTGTGATCTCAGCACTGGGGGTCGCGCTCCTTGTCTGGCCAACATTGCCCCCACATTTTGCTGAAAACGTCAATTATCCTGCAAACTTATCCTTAGTCCTCTATGACCTGGCACCATCCCAGTCCCTCTCATTCTGCCCAGAGCTGGCTAAACTGTCTCAGGGCAAGGGTGGGCTCCATTCATCTCTGAATTTTCATAGCCAGGGGCGAAGTGGCCCCCAGAACCATCAGCTGGAACAGAAGTAGTTAACACAGAATGAGATCAAAGATTCCGAGAAGGGCTAACACTCACTGAGGAATAATTAGGAGAACTAATTTGCTGATGAGGCAGGACATTCTTAAGGGTGAAAAGGGTCTTATTAACTCATCATGTTGGGGCAAAAGAGGAAAACTGGGGGTGTCAGGGCGTATGGTCTCCCCGTAGTTGACACACTGACAGAATGCCACTGCCTGCTGCCTTTCCTCATCAGGGCTCCGGGCGGCTCTTCCCTTCGGTCTGCTCAGAGCGGCTGAGTGTGCCTGAGGTCACACATGCATGAGAAGGGGGTGAGGCCGTGACCAGGTCTGTCTAGTGTCTAACCGCTGTGTTCAGAATAGCAGGGACATGATTTGGGGGCCCATGTCTGGCCCTCCGGTGTTGGGCCCACCGGCTCTGTCCTCAGTGAGCGTGAGAAGGGGAGGTGACAAGGCAGCAGCAGCCCAGTGCACCCCCCGGGGCCAAAGGGCCTCACCACACGCCGGGCGTGTGCAGTGCTGCTCTGGACACTGTATGATAAAAGTCCCAGCAGCAAAGTGCGGCCCAGCTGCGCCCATCATCGTGGGCCATTCGGCTTCCCCCTCCCACCCAGCTTGTGCTCTTTCCACTCTGTTAGCGTGAGCAGCGGGACCCCCTCTGGAAATGAACCCCTACAACCTTGCATGCCTTTCTGAAGGGAAGATGAGAAGGACAATTGTTTGTTTTAGTCACAGATTCCAAAAGGAAGCGTGAAATATCCCTCTGCCACCAGGTACTCAGTGTTCCTCTCAAAGGGGAAGGGGACAATTTAGAAAAACAGGTAAATGGGGCCAAGTGACTCACAGATAATGTTCATGTCCGGGCCAAAACTCATGCATGATAAGAGAGAGGGACTCGATGGCAGATACGGGACAAGATTATCCAAGAGAACTGCCTTGGGATGAAAAAAAAAAAAAACAAAACTAACCCTGAAGTTTAAAAGGGCTCTCCGGTGAAAACGGTCAAAGTCCTCTGTGCTTCCTCCTTGGCAAGATATGCCCCAGAGAACCACGTGCCACTCCACATAGCGCTTTGTGGGGAGGATTCCATTTAAGAGTCATTAAACTCCACCAGGACTTCCTTGCCCATAAAGACATAAATGCTATACAGATTGCTGTCCCGTCATAAATAACTAGAAAACCTGATAAGAATTTGAAGGAGACATGACATGAGACAGTAGCTGCTGTGCTGAGGGCTGTAATTTTGACCGAAGGTAACAAGTGGGGTGGCCATTCCCCACTCACCCCACCCCTAGTTCATTGCCCAGATGGAGTATCCAGAATGAGGCTCAGAGATGAGAAACCCAAACTGAGCCTTCCAGTCCCAGGGTTGCTGAGGTCAGCAAGCTGAGGAAGCAGGCCAAAGCAGCTGGTAGGCGCCAGGAGGCACACACAGGGGGAGGAGGCCTCTGGAACCTCTGATACGGATCTGGTACACAGATCAGGTGACGGTCCAGGGGCTGAGGAGAGAACCACTAAAAGGGAACATGCGAAACAACACCCAAAGCAGACAAAACTGGGAACAGTCCATGCTCTCACCAGAGGGGTTGGATAGACCTTACAATACGTGAGATGTGAGGCAGAGTCCTCAGAAGGACACGGCCTTAGGTTAGTTTCCAGGGCTTCTTTGGACTTGCCCTTTGCACAAAGTTTAAAAGTAAACCTCAAAAGAATTAAACCAATTTGAAGTAAGTTAGATACATGGCAGAAGAAAGCCCAGAACTCTATGAAGGAGTACCATAAAATATAGCTTGAACAACACAATACCCGGTATGCAATTATAAATAACAGTCAAGCAAAGTACAGGAAAAGATGACTTATAAACAGGCCCTGAACTGAGAGATGATGGAATTAGCAAATACGGTCATTTAAACAGCTGTTGGAAATATGCTTAAGAATGCAGAGACAGGAAGAAGACAGAAAGTGGAAAATATAAAAAAGACCCAAAGGAAATTTGTGTCAATGAAAAACCGTGCTGGCTCTGAGTAGCAGGACTGAGTAGGGCCAAAGAAAATATTAGTGAACCTGAAGACACGGCAACAGAAGTTAGTCAAAATAAGCACAGAGGAAAATGTCTTAAAAATAGAGGCAAAGCATATTGTAAGGTGACGTGTTAGTCTGAAAGGAGAGAAGAGAGGGAAAACAGAAGAAATACTTAAATCAAAGCAATGGGTACAAAAAAAAAACACATTCAACAAAAAGCTGTAAACTCACATTAAATACAGACCCAAAGAGCTCAACAAACCACATCAGGCACATTAAAATCACAGTGCCGCACAGCTATGAGGAGGACAGAGCTTTTAAAATTGAAAGTGAGAGCTGAAGGGAGCTGGTGGGAAGGAAGTCTAGTGACTGTGAAGTCACTTGGTGGTTTCTAATAATGTGAGGCATAGATTAACCACGTGACCCAGCAATCACACTCCTAGGTACTTATCCAAGATAAACCAAAAGATATGCACAAATATTTGTTGTTAAAATCTGGAAAACCTTTAAGAGTTCTTCAAATGATCAGCAGCTAAAATGCAGACTAATAAGAATGTATAAACCACGGCTATCTGCAAAGACATGTCTCTCAAAAATGCTGTAACTCAGCAAGACGACTACATAATACATGATTTCTTTTTAATGACAGTCTGGAAAAGACTATGGTGAAACAAAACTCTGGGGACAGATGAATGGGGGCTAGGGCTCAGGGAGTGACCGCCCTTGGCCCTGACCTTTGAGTGAACGTGCTCAGAGGTCCTGCACTGCGAAGAGGGAGCATGAATGTGGCGTTTTGACCTCTGCTGCAGGGAGGTTGGAGAAAATGACACTGAGCTCCTGGATCCAAGCAGGTCTACCCCCAGAGGTATCCTAGGGCACCAGGGAGGTCCTTTTACCACATAGCTACCGAATCATGATGCCTCTTGGGGCCGGACCCTGCCCCCTCACATCTCCGTGTGCTCTGACACTCACCTGAGAGCGAGATTCCTTCTGCGAGCCCATAAGGAAGATAAGCAAAAATGATCATCATGCCAAACTCCAAGGAAGGCGTTTTCCTCAGGTCAATGTGCTTTAGCACGTAGAAGACAATTGTCAAGGCAAAAGAACGCACAAGACAGTGGGTGGGCGACTGGGAGACGTCACAAGCCTACTGCCTTCCCAGCACAGAAGGTGAACCATGGAGCCGAGAGATGCTGGCACATCCCAGGGAACATTTATCAGAATTCATGAATTGCTTCTTGGTCAGGAAACTGTTATTATAAAAAAGGGAATCTGACAAAACATTAAGCTTAAAGCAGACATTCCTGAGATGAGTGGGAGGGAGGAGTGAGAAGCAGTCCCAGGGAATGCACTGGGCTGGGGGCATAGCTGTTGCTGCAGGAAGAGCCCACACCACCAGGCCCTGCCAGGCCCAGCCACTCTTACTTCTTTTGAAGATGTGGGATGGGCTCACTAAGGGGGTTTCCATGGAAGGACCTTCCTTCCTGTTCTGGAAATTTCTAAACTCCTGTGAAGAGAGCTTCTGCATATTCAAACACGGTTCACACGTCTAAGCGTACACCCGTCTACTCTGCTATGTCACCTCGGATGCTTCACTTTTTTACTATAAATGTGGAGGACAAAGCTGAAATGGAAGAAAGTCTTCTCCTTTCTGTTTACCGGTGCAATCTGAGAAGCTGCCAGCTGACTCAAGAGAGCCTTTAGACTTCTGGACAAAGGAGCTGAAGGAAAGTTCAGCAGGATGGCAGACAGACCTGCCTCTCGCCAAAGGGGCCTCCCGGCCATCTGTGACGCAAACTCGTGTGGAGGCGGGCGGCGGCCATCTCTGCGCCGTGCAGGCCAAGGCTCATGCAGAAACGGTGTCTGTTCCTCTGTGAACCTGAAGACTCTCCTACCACAACAATGTGTCACTGGCTCATCAACCGGCCACTTTCCTTCCCTGACTGGAAAATCTTATGGGCTGTTGGGCAACAAAATCAATACCCAGAGCATGGGGGCGCTTGCCCTCCCAGATGAACACTTTCAGGGGGTAAGGAGTTTCTCAACATGACACTGTCAAAGGAAATTAAATATCAATTTCCTGAGTGTGAAAAGTGAAGCAGCAGAAAATGAAAATCATCTGAATGCAGTGAGAGTCTGGGAACTGAGAAGCCTACCCACCCCGAAACATATCTGACTTCCACCAGCAGACAAGCTTCTTGAACTCTGAAAAATGACATCTTAAATTTTACTTGCTAAATAAGAAAAATCTCTTGAGTTTAAAGTGTTGCTCAAACCAAAAGTAAACATGAAAATCTTTCTTCAAACAAGCCAGATGAAAATTGACCCCCTTAAAGAACCGGAGAAAGTGGCTAGAGATGGAATGCAATTAAGAATCATCTTCTCAGCCATGTGTGTTCATCAGATTAAAAGGATATTAATGCAGAGATTAAGCCGGTGAGAGTGCCGAGTGCCGCTGAGCCAAAGAACATTTTGAGGAAGTAGCCAAGGGCTTGTAAAAATGTTTGCCACCCACTGACATCTGACATATTTTTCCTTGTTAAACCTTCAGCTGTGCTAGGAAATAAGAAGAAAAAAAACAGAAAGAAGTTAAAATGTTATAGACAAAGTTATTAGAAATTAACTTAGAACTTGAAAATTATTATCTGCTTATTCATTCATTCATTCATTCACTCCATCATTTAGTTGGTTAGTGATTAACATTTACTTGTTCATTTACGTTGTTTCGGGCACTGTGTTAGCTTCTTGGGGTTCAGAGATGCCTGCCAGGAGCTCCTACAGCCTAGCGAGGGAGAAGACCAAGCTGGGAGCCAATGACCAGCTGCTCAGAGCGGAGGCCGGCACGAGCACAGGGCTGGCAGCTAACTCAGGCTGGTGCGGCTCAAGGAAGGTTCTGGGTGACATATGGGCTGGGTTTAGATTTAGGAAAGAGTCAATCCAGTGACGAAATGAGGGAAAGCACCGCAGCATCGCAGCTGAGGGAGCACACGCACAGAGGGAGCCCGAGAACATGCCGCACATCCTGGAAGCATTCACATACACAGGTGAGCATGGATAAAACCCAGAAGAGGTGTGGGGTGAGGGGCTGAGGGCGCGTGAGAGGACAGGACAGAGATCAGGCAGAGCAGCTGGTGGCAGTGGGACCCATGGAGGCTGGAGATGAACCACGTGAAGGAGTTGGGGTCGCACCCTGAAGGTCTGGGGAGCCGTGGAAAGTGCTAGTGTGTGTGTGTGTGTGTGTGTGTGTGTGTGTGTTGAGGAGGATGGTCATATGATAAAATCGGAAACTGAGGCGATGGCACAACGTCAGATCAGAATGGGGCTGCCTACAGAAGTGCTCCAGGTTCCGGTTGGGAGTGTGGATTTACAGGCATCACAGAGGAAGAATTAAAGTACTGTCCTTTCACAGTGACAGAGCAAAGTAGTGGCAGGAAGCATTAAATTTAATTGTTGGTTTTATTCCCAAAGGGAAAGTCATCGTGCTCTTAGCACGGAGTTACTCTCGTTAAATCTCCTCCTGTGGATGCCGCCTTCCAACTAGCCCTCGATTCCGTCCACATCTGCCCCGCTCCCCCCCCCGCCCCATGGCAGGGCTAATGCCTTCTGTGCATCCTCGCTCAGCATCCTTGTCTTCCTACTGAATGACCCGTCCTCCATTCAGTGCTTGAATGACCCCTTAATATACACATTTGATCAGGTTAAAACCCATCAACAGCTCCCTGCTGCTGTGTAGGAAGAAGCCCAGGCTTCAAAGCAGGACCTGGTTCCCCTCCGCACCATATCTCTCTCCCTCATTCAAGGTGGGACCCCACTGTCACGGACACCTGCTTGTAGGGCATATCCCCAGACCGCTGCCAACTTCCTGGTTTGTCCCCAAGAACCAGGGTGAGTGTCGCTAACTCAGGAACCCCCACTCTGACCCCGTCAGCTCACTCACAGGCTCTCTTGGAGACTGACTTCTCTACAATGTGCGAAAACGCTCCAGGAGGCCCAAGCCTGTGTCCACCTGTCCGCTGCCATATGTCCAAGGCCAAGGGCAGAGCTAACACACAAAAGACACCCGATGGATTCCGCAGAATCAGTGAATGCCGCAAGACTGGTCAGCAGTAAGAGTGAGCTTCATTGGCCTTTCACGAAGTGGTGTGATTTTCTAGTGGGATAATCTCTGGTAAAAGGGTGCCTCTGTCTTTCATGCAGTCAGCCCAGTGTAATATAATAGCGGTTCTGAGAAGTCCTGCCGAAAGGTAACCTAATTTTTTCACACAAGAGTTTTCCAAACTCAACTGAACGCGTGATGTTCCTAGGCCCTCTCCCCCGGCAGATTACAGAGCCACATCCCATCCCAGGCACGTGGGCGCCAAGAGGGTCTCTTCCTGGGAACGTGCTTTTGAAGGCTAAGGTCACCTTAGATCTGGACACGTGCCTGATGTCCACTGCCCCCACCTCATGCCTCTACCAGGCCCGCGCTCGGGCTGGCATATCGCTCCCTTTCCAAGCAAGGAGGCTGAGTCCAAAGGGGCGGGGGGGGGGGTGGTCACACCAAGGTGAACAGCAGAGGAAAGTGAAGTCTGAGCCGAAGATAAAAGGAACCAGAATCTGAACTCTTTCTGGCCTGGTAATTTTCTACATTTTATTTTTCTAGGTTAAGTTTCTCACATCTTAGAGAATAAAGACAATGTGGCTCCCAGATCCATTTCAAGAGCATAAGCTATAGCTGGAGGGAACAAAAGGTTTCCTCTACAGCAATTATTTTAAGAATAAATTGTCATAGTAACAAATCAATGCTAAAAATAATTTAATTAAAGTTAATGAAGAAACAGAAGATACTTAGCTTTCTGGCACGTATGGAAATAAAAACATTAAAAGGGGGTAATTCATTCACATACTCAGCTGCAAAGATAAAATGTGTCAGATCACTTTGAAAACTGTCCTCTACGAAGGTCCCTTAAGCAAGTTGGGATTCTGCCTTGCAACCAAAGTGAGCTGACAACAGGTCTCTCTGCGCTGCAGAAGCAGGCAGGCTTACAGGCTCCGTCGCCGTCTTTTACTGGAAAATGCTGACCAGCTCACAGGACAACTGTCTGGGAAGTCTGCACAGTGGCTGTTTCCCCCTCATACCCAAGGCTTGCTTTTCTAGAAGCATCCTTCTTCCACTCTGGCCCGAATTTGTTGAGTTCAGTTGGTGTGTGGACAGTGTCCGGCACAGAGGGCCCTCACCCAATGCTGCTGGTGGGCAGCCGGCTTCTGGGTGTCTGGAAGCCAGAGAGGTGGTATCCTACTAGCCCAGCCGGAGCAGGGGGAGCGGGGGGGACCAGGCGGGGGGAGGGGCACCTCTGGAACTACATGCACTTGGTTCAGCGGCCCAACTTCTGGAGGTGGCATCATCGGTGATTTGGCCTTCAAAAGTACTTCTTTCTCCAAGGAAGAACCCTGAGTTACTTATATTGGCTTCCTCATTTCTCATTTAAAAAAGGAAATATCTCCTTATCTTTCTTTGCTTTTTTTCTTTTTAATGACAAAGAGACTTGGAAAAGCTCAGAAAAGGTCCTATTTCTGACATTGGAAAGGAAAAAATAAAGACAAAGCAGTCGAGTTTAGTTCCTAATGTATAAAAATAACTCATGATGTCACTTCCAATTTGGGCGAGATTCTTTCACACATGTTCCACTGGCTGTCAGGGTATAAGGTAAAAGTAAAAACCAAAATGTTAAGGCGCTCTTAGAGTAGACCTTAAGTAAGAAAAAATATTGCCCTCAGATATTTTAAAGTGCTAATATCATGATATGTAATTAATTAATAAAATTACAGAAATTTTTGCCATGAAAAAGCTCATAATAGAGACTTAGCAAAACAGATCACACTAAACCCATAAGCAAGAATAATCTGTAACCAGGGAAACAATGCTATAGGAAGTGATTTATCAACTCTGGTCAGTGGAAGTCACAAGACAGTCTATAAAGCAGAAGCCCTTAAAAAAAATCCTGTATAGGTCTGTCAAAATGACGTCTGTAATTATCTGTGGACAGTAACAATGCATGCAATTTTAATTTATTTTGTGCTTATGTGTTTTCAAGTTTTATAGAAGAATATCTATTACTTTTCGAATACCAAAAATATGTTAAATTTTAAGGTCTGTTACTACTTCTTGCAATTAAGCAAAATTTGGTAAGCTCTTCCTGTAAAGGGAGGCCAAAAACAGGCAGACAGTAACTGTGGAGCAGAGAAGAGGAAGGGAGTTCACATTCAGTGAGGTCAGATGTTTTTCACAATATCACATTTAAATATTTAACCCTCAATCCAACCCTAAACCGAGCATCTTCACTTTATTGTTTGGAAACTTGCAGTTCAGAGAGGTAAAGGCACTGGCCTGGGGTCACACAGCAATGAGTCACATCATGTGGACTTGAACCGAATTCTGCTGGCTCCCAGGCTAGCTTTTCACACTATACAACCATAGAGACCATAATATAGCTTCAGAAAAACACTAACTACCAGTGAGTGGTTATGTTAGGCAAAGAATCCACAGCACATAAAATAAGACAGAGTTCACACAATGGAAACTATCCTTACAGGTCTCAGTCCCCACATTCTTTCAGCTCGTCTCTGGTGCTGTCCAGGGCTCTTTCATCCAGTACCTTTGTCGGTGCCTTCTCTGTATTTTAGCAAAACTGGGTTTCCAGCTTGCACCTGCTAATGAACCCCACAAGATGCAGGACTCAAGGAAACTGCTCTGCCTCACATAAACACACTTATATCCCTTACACTTATTCCCCTTTCCCACTAATGTCTTGACAATGTATGATTCATCTTTAATTTCTGAGATCCTGTCACCAAGGACAGCCAAACCAGAGAAACTGGGAAAGACTTGCAGCTTCTAAGGTCACTTTCACGCAACAGCATCCCAAAGCGGGACGCCTGTTGGTATCACTTTTAATAAGCACCCCCGTTGATGCTGATAGAAGCTGAGCCCCAAAACAGCTAAAAAGTAAGTCAGAAAAGGCAGATTCTCCTCTCCGCGCCACCCTGAACCCCACAGTACTCCTGGGGCATGTCGAGGCATGTCAGGACAGACGGCGGAGTAGCAGGCAAAAGTCACAGCACAAGCCGCTGCCCCTGCAGCTGCCTGGACACATAGGGCCCTTTGCGACAAGGAGCTCAGTGCTGTCACACACACTTACTTGGTCAGGACAATGGAGACTGCATCGTTGAGAATACTCTCTCCAAAAACCAGCATGTTGAGCACTGGGTCCACATGAAGGGCATTGAAAATGGCAATCGTAGCCACCGGATCGACGGCAGAAATGAGGGACCCAAATGCAAAGCTGTGAGAGAGAAGGGAGACGGTGACTCGTGATGACTATCACTGGGCCTCTATTAAAACACCAACATCGAAGGCTGTGTCTGACATTTACAGCACGCAGAGCTGAGGGAGCCACAGAAGATGGGGTCCTTCTCCCTCCTGCCCAGCCCTGTGGCAGGTGGGGCCGTGCCAGGCCTACTCTACCAGGAGCTGTCACACCTTAGGTCCAGAGGCTTTATTTTGACCAGTGTTGGAAGAAGATTTGGCTTAAATACGGCACAGACCTCCTGGCTTGCGTGGTCAGTGGCCGGAATGGTGGCTTGGGCGCCTCCCCTTGAGGCACATGAGCTCCAGCAACTGACCTCTATGGTGCTTGGTGCTGCTGCCTGTGGTGGACGCCGGCCCCACTCACACTGACCACATCCGACTACCAAAGGCCGCAGTGACACCAGTGCGCCTCGGGGGCCAGGCCAGCGGCTCTGCCCTCCACACCCACGAAGTCAGACTGTTAACGGCCCAGTATGTTTCAGGCACTACGGCTAGTTACCATCCCGCAGCATGTATGTGGTCAGTGTCCTCAGTGCAGGACATAGGCCAACGCAACCCATGCGGTGACCCTCTGAGATGGCACTATTGTCCCAGTACCCAGGAGCCAAGCGAGGGACGAAGAACTTAAGTGACTTGTCCAAGGTCAGACAGCTAAGGAGTGGCAGAGCTGAGACTCCCGAAGAGCCAGGTGGCTCAGTGACGGGGCCTGACCACGGCACTGGGCAGAGCGACATCCAGAGACGAAAACCAATGTCAGAAGAGCAAGGGCTGCACAGGAAGTCAAGGTGCTGAGAGAAAGCGTGTCCTGCAGGGGTGGGGGTGTCACTTAGGCTGAGGGGCCAGGAAAGACCTCTCTAGAGAGATGACATCTGGGGAGGCCATGGTGAGCTGGCCCTGCGGTGGGGGCAGGCTTGGTTGCCTCAGAGACAAGAAGGGTGTGGCAGCAGCCCACAGGCAGGGCTGTGGCAGGACACGCGAGAGGTGGAGAGCAATGCTGGGGCCTGTCACTGTGTGGGCTGGAGGGCCCCTCAGGTTCTTGCGAGTCTTCTAGTCCCTCAGACTGCTAGGCCTGGCCCTGCTTTCTTGCCTGCTCAGCAGATTGTTCAGTCTTCTCCTTCCCTGAGGGAACAGCCCTGCGGAGAGGTGAGCGGAGATGCCACCTGTTTCTGACCCTCACCCTGTGTGCAAGCTGGGAGGGGCGTGGGGGTGTCTTCCTTCCCCTGGCATCACCAGCAGGCTCTGCGGGCCCTTGGCTGGGGGTTCAGGGAGCGGCAGCGGGCAGGCAGTGGGGTGCTGGGCTGCCGTGCTAGTAGCAGCCCCCCTGATACATCGACCATCGAGTGTTGGCTTCCAGGGAGCGCCGGGAGAGCGCCCAAGTGTGATTAATTAGAAGTTTGGATGGGAGAGCCTGCTCGCCTTGACCCCAAGCCGAGGTCCAGGCTCTGCAAGGCCATCTCAGCGCAGACCTCACTGCCAGCCTCTCCTTGTCCTCAGAGGCCTTCCTGGGGGCTGGGGGCTGCTACTGTCCCTGCCTTTCGTCCTCACTGGGGTGCTGAGGGGTGCGGCGGGGAGCACTGTGCTTTGCTCCCAGGTGTCTGTGATGGGGGGCCGGCCGGCAGAGGGCAAGTGGAGGGAGGGCGAGAGGGAGTGTAGTGCCACAGAAGCAGCCAGCCTGCAGGGCCTGTGCGGCTGGCAGCTGGCCTGAAGCACTAGCACTGCGACTCACTTGTGTCAGCCTCACCGTCATCGCCCATGGCAACCTGACAAAGGGCCTCGAGGGCAGGAGGATATTTGAAAAGTCTCTCCCCAAGGGGAGAGAGGCCAGGATAGGGGAACCTGGACTCACTGGTGGGGTGTGTTGTGCTGATTTTGTGCGGCTGAACCGGCCCCTCCCCCAGAGCCCCACTATGGAACAGCTAGCACCCTAGTTTTGGTGCTAGCACCCCAGAGTTCACTTAAGGTGCCACACCTCGCTCTGCTTTCCTGTGGTTGCATGGGGCTCGAGGGGCAGGCAGGGGACCCGAGCCTGGTCAGTGAGGGTCACTGCCAGTTTTGCCAGGCATCAGGAATTAGGGTGGCCCGGGGGCAGGCACAGCTGACGTGGAGGTGATGTGAGTCCAAAACCATCAGCACTATCCTGTGGGGTTCGTGTGCCTGAGGATGAAGCCAAACAGGGAAGAGCTGAGTGTGGACACCACACAAGGAGACCGTGGGCCTGGAGGTGGGCACGCCGGGAGCCCAGGGCACATCAGCTCCACAGGCCAACAAGTTGTGCGTTTTGTTTGTGTTTTATTTAAAACTAGTTTGCGTTGGGCTTCAGCTGCACTGAAGAAGCCTGACTCATGTTCTTGGGAACTATTTCTTCAGTAGAAATATCACTAAACAAAAATATTAAAAAATACAATCTGTACAACCCAGTCACTTTTATGTTTCTATAACAGAAAGTCTGTACTGTATAGCATTTTGAAAAATTGATTAAAATGTCAACTTTTGGGGGGAAAATTCTTGACCAACAGCTATAAACCTGGGCTCTTAAAAAAACCGTTAAATATCTAATGAGTCTCGGCCCATCTCCCCCGGTAACTGCCAGGTGGAGCTGAGAGCAGCTGTCCGCTGAGACGGGTGGGCTCCCCGTCACCGTGGTCCC